TGTCAATTCTTAACTCAGTTTAAGTATAATCCAGGTTGTATTCTCTTGATCATCATGTCTGTCCGTAGTTTTAACTCAAGTACTGCCAGTCGTTTCTGGCACACAGATTGTCCTCCGTGCAATGACGCTGAAATTTCAGAACAACCACTAGCAACAACAGTTATAAGACAAAAAGGGTGGCACTATATTGGACACATGACAAGAAGAAGCGAGCAGATTATCACAAACAGGCAGTAAATTAAGAAATATTTGGGGATTTCGGAAGAAAGGACGCCCACAAGAAACCATAGAAGGAACGTTTGATGAGAGAGGCCAAACGTGCTGGACTTCATTCAATCCATGGTGTTGAATTGATTGCAAATAACCGAATGGAGGAATAGAATGCAAGCCCTATGCGACACATAATGAATGGCACAACAGGACAATGAGGTGATGATAATATAATGCTAAACCATCTAATATCTTCTCACTTGTTCTCACCATGCTTCTCCTCTCGCACCATACCTTCAACTTCCAGTTGTCACAGTACACTTAAGTTGTCCTCACTTTTCATGGCTCCCCCAAGAATTACATAGCACCTCGTATTTGCATTTTTCAAAAATATGTGCTAACTGGCTAGTTTTACTAGCAAGTTAACTTTTTTTTTAAAGTCGTGACCAGTGTTGTCACTTTTCTTTGACAAAAAAACACTCAGGGCGGAGTCAAACAATATCTAAAAACATCTAAATTTTGGTGGAAATCATCTAAAAAAAAAAAAAAAACATTCAAATGGAAAGAGTCACCAACTTACATAGCTATTGATATGATTTACCCGAAGGAATCATGTCCTAATCTTCCCTAATGTCTGCCTCACAAGATCCACAGGATAAACTTAGCTTGGATGATGGAAGTTGAAGCTTCAGATCCAAAATGACTTTGGTATGCTTTAGCTGTTCCAATTTCTTTTAAAACAGTCGGGAAGCTGATAAGTGGAACAGCATTTTCCTACTCTCATAAGCCGAATTTTATTGACAAAAATGGAAAGCATCTTATGACATCGCAAATATAATAGTAAATAGAAGAAAACAAACCCACGGTTCAAAAGATCTTCAGACGGATTAGAGGCAGTATATTGTAAACTGTGTCAGTTTACTGTTGCACAAAGAATTAGTAGCATATCAAATCATGAAAAATCCGAAAAACGCAGGATGAAAACTGTCAAAAAGCTAGTCACAGCTTATTACAACAATGCAAAGTAATGTTATAATGGAGCAATGATTCGCAATACAAAACTATTAATGTCTATTAGCCTCTCTTGCGCAAGCCTACCTCACCTTCACGTGGTGGATCCCTGTTCTTCCCAGCAATCCAGTTGAAGGTTGGGTTCTCAACCCCCCAGCGGGAAACTGGATGGGACAACAAACGAGGTAAAGGCAAAAGACGAATGGATGAGCCTACTCTCCTCGAGTATGATCAGTCTACTCTAGCAAAACAAGGTGCTGAAGTCGGAGGCAACCAGCAAGGAGTCGCACAACAGCAATCAGGATGCCACGCCATAGAAATATGCCGTTGGATCTGTTTTTGTCAGACAATTGGGCTTAACCAGCCGATGGATGGCTGCTGTCTTAGTGTACCTCAGTGTGGCTTTTGCTGGCATATGGACGGAGTAATAATGGAGTGACCCGTTTGCTTTGAAGTAGTTAATTGCCTGATTACCTCTGCTAAACGTCCATACATCAGAACTGGTTCTTCGTAGTTTTTAAGAACTCAAGTGACAAACATATTGCATATAATGTTCCTGAATCTGTGAACTGGTCGCTACTTTTGCTTGTGCTATTAACTTCTTTGTACATCTTTCACTCACTACTTATCAGAGTACTTAATTATTTGTTGACTTGCTTTGGGGATAGTCCTGTTTATTTTCATAGTGCATTCTGGAAGACAAGTAGTCATCGTAATATCCTCCTTCATCATTCGTCTGATTGGCGTAAATGCGTTGTACATGTTTACAACATGACTGTAATATTTGCGCCATTCGGCAGGTTCATCCTTCTTCGGATATTAAATTTCTGGGTTAGCCTTCATAGCTTCAGTATCATTCTAGTAAGTTATTCACAAGGTCCAACGTTCAAGGCAGTCGAGCTCCATTCACGTGCCAGTGAAAACCACAAGGAAGCGCAGGATCTAACTAGAGCTATTCAATTAAGTTCACCTGCGGGTCAAAATGATAAAAATGGGGATCGGAGATCGTCGCGGGCCATTGGTCCGACTTAAAGTGTGGAAAGATTATTAACACAATACAACATTTTCAATGAGTAACTTTAATAAACTCTAAAACTTACTCCTAGGCTAGGCGTAGGGCCTAACTTACAGTAATATAAATGAAACGGTATTATAAACCATTATAATGTAAAGTATTGAAATGATAAACTAATACTAATACTGTACTCACTTTTAATTGAAATACACGTTAGCATTGTCACTTCAACTGCGAGTTCTGCTCATTATTCTAAGTAACTTTTACCCTGAACTAATTACATTTCCCTTTATCAGACATATCCAACAGTTGTGGTATTTTCATTTCTTTCGCTGTTTTGTGTTCGCTGCATTTACAAATTCATAATAAACATTTCCTGTTGACACAATCGTCATAACTGGTTTGTGAAGATTTATACAGAACAGACTAACTGACACTTCACTGTTTTTTTTAAGCAACCATTGCCGGCCACTTGCTAGATGTGGCCCGAAGGCTGCCAGTTTAAAAAACATTGCGGTCCTGTGTAGAATACTGCCTATTCTGTCCCAGCAGGCCGCTGGTCAATTTACAAATTTGCAGTTAATGCAAATTAGCTCGGACCTAGTCGCAAAGCATTCCACATGAAATCCTGTGTTCCCATTGTTGCACCATGCACTCAACACAGTAATGGTGAAAATATGGGGGTGACTGCAGTCAAGCTAATACACAGGAATTCCAGAGAAATTAGACTAAAAAGCTCAACAAAATGGGGAAGCAGAAAAACATGCACAAAACAACACGTTTTGGCCAGGCAACACAGTAGTTGGACCCTGGAACTGCCAATACCATTATTTCTGCTCTACTGCTGTTCAAACTGAGACACATGCCTTGCCTTTTATTAAATTTGATTTTAACAATTATATCTTAGTACATCCATTTCTTGTAGCTTCATATATCAGAGATACACATGTATTATCATTACTATTGGAAATAAGGGTACAAATTCTAAGATCAAGTGAGGTCATTCTGTAGAAACATGCTCACATTAGCCACCAAATAATAATGATGACGCTAACAATGGATGATTTTCAATATACAGATGAAGGTGTCCAGACTCCCATCCAAAGGAAATGGATAATCTGCTATGAGGTATGAGCTGGGTTACATTCACAGCACCCTGAACACGTCCATAGGTGGTCAGATTCCCCCTTCAACATATACATCAGCGACCCGTGGTTTATAGTGTCAGTCATATGCTGGTTAAATTCCGTGTGCCTTTTTGGCTGTGCTGATCTTTACTCTCAATTCTTGTATTCTTAGCAGTGATGAGGACATGCTCCCAAAATCCTCAAATTGTCCTATCAATCTAAGGGCATTCACAATGTCGGCGCAATCCCTGGCTATCTACAACTAAAGATGAACCAGCCAGTCGAAGATCAACTCTTTTATTGCCAACAACACCCGCATGCCCTGCGACAAAGACAAAGGTAACTGCAAGCACAAGGACGTTTCACAATGACTCAGTCTACTGACTCTGTGGATGAAGCCTGCCTCGACCCACATGATCATGCTCACAGAATCGCTCAGCACACAGACATGGAAATAGTCCTGTGATTCCGGCCACATGAAAGCTTGTGTCGCTGCTATTAGCTCCACCATCATGCTGCTAGTAGTTATAGAGAAGGCCCCACTGGCTTCCTGACTGTTCTGCCTGGAGAACAGAACGAGCTGTGAATGCCCATGCACTCTTATGTACCTGTCTGTGTAGATTTGCATATCTGCATTGTCACTGATAAGCTGGACAACTTGACAGCTAGTACATGGGACTTAAAGCCAGTCTTCCACAGGATGTATTTTAAACAAAGTTGGGTCCAAAAGTTAGATCTCTTGCTTACCAAGACACCTAGAAGAAAACCTTGAATACAGCAGGATCCCCCTGGTAAACAACTAACCCCCCCCCCCCCCACATTAATAAATTACACTGATCTTCATTCACCACCTCAAATACAAAAAATAATCAATCAATGTTCTTGTCCTACCAATGCCAGGTTTATTCTACCGTTACAATTTTTCATAAAGTATACAAGCTGTCACATAGTTTTTCAGTGTTACCCTTCTTATTACAGCCAATATTTTATATAACAAATCAAAGCATTGAAATGGTGCTAGAAAAGAATGAAAACAAGTCACATAAATGGGTAAGCAATGAATATACAATGCAAGGAGTATCACTAGGATATGCTTTGTCCATGATCATAATTATGCGTCTTTCCATTCTGTCTGACAGAATTGTCCGGTAACAGTAATACATAATACATACATTACTGACACCCTGATGATAAAGGCAACTGAAATAAATGGAAACAGATTTGACCAAATGTGCAGGGTAAATATTTTTGTTGATCAGCTAGATAGTTAAAGTATGACCATATGCAGCCCTCTCAAGTCAGACATGAAACGTGATGGACAGTAGATACAAACCTACTGTTTAACATGCAGACTGGGGAAAGTCTGAGGAAGGCAAACATGGCAGAACTCAAGATTCTCCAACTAAAGTCTTGACCAAATTACAGTCTAAATGTCAGAATATGTCTTGAGAACCTGATTAACATATGCGGTGTGCAACAAACTGAACGGACCGATCCATTAATTCACAAGTTTTTATGATCCATCTCTTGTGCAGAATCTGTAGGGACAAATACTAAGGGAAACAAAATAAAAGAACAAGAAAAGTCTTTCAAAACAAAAAAGGACGCTGTGTTTATTTACACCATATAACGTTATTTTATGAACGAGCATTGGGCCCTTTCTTGCGGCCAAAACTAGCAACTACGTTAACAAAACGTCTGTTGTACTGCATGCGACGCTTGGCACGGCCAGTCCTGCGCTTTTTCTTTTCTTGTTTTTCAACTTTGGGTGTTTGGCCTCTAACTTTTCCAGCACGAGCCAAACTGCCGTGAACTTTACCTGAGGTTGGAAAGAATTGACATGTATATTATTCAGTATGGCGGAGAGGGGGGAAATAGATCATCACAGAAAAAATAATTTGTTTCGGGACTCCCTCAAATGATATAATTTAAATAGTATAATGATTATTGCAAAGTCAGCTGGCATAAGGCCACACAACCAACGAAGTGCCAATTGATCTATAAAATATAGATATACAGCTTTATACCCAATATCCCTATGGGTGTGGAGAAGGGTAAGGGTAGTTTTGTATATTATCAGCAACTGATCAAGTTTTGTCCAATGTATTGCCAGTTTGAATTTAGTGATTTATACTTCTGTAATTTCACATTGCTTTTTTGGTACCCCCAGCAACTTTTCACAAGCAGCCCATCTCACATGTGAAGTTTTTCTTGGTGAGATTTTAATATGGACTTAATCTGATTGATAGCAAAACACTGGAAGAAAAATACTGTTAATCATTAATCAATTAATCTCTATCGTAATTTTAGGATGTTTTGAGTAAAAGCAACAGATGACATATTATCATGCACCATGCTCATCAGCATAAGTGGTCAATTTTCATGATCTCACAATCACTTACCAGGTCAATACTCTTGTCTAGCCCCATATAATATATATAACTCATAAATATTTCCTTTATTACACAGAAGCTTTCATAACAATCAAATTTATATTGAAGAGGCGAAAATTCTGCAAACATACCTCCCAGCATTCTCAGTTCAACACTGAGTGTTGATTCATCTCTGAAAGAGGCAAGCTCACAAGCATCTTCCAAAGGTTGGCCTTCATAGAACACAGCCATGTTTACGGCTGGCAGGCCCTCACGCTCTGCAATCAGAGTCTAGAGGAGGCACAAAAACATCTTTATTAATAACTTTGCACAACTTATTTGTAACAAAAATGTAGCCAGAATAGTAAGATAGTTGTCACAGTAAAACAAAATACAACCAGCAGGTCTCTGAAACCCACAGGGTCAAAGGAACTGTTTAATTGTGAATCCGTTACATGACACTGCAGAACCGATCCCAGCAATTTTTGGCTTTTGTGGTTTTTCTAAACAAATTTATGTTCACTAGTTTGCCATTACTTTCTGTCAAACGAATGCAAGACCGTATGCTGACAAATCTTCTGCAGCTGGGATAAAACTCGGCGCCCCGGCATTAGATAGTGTGCTCGAAACGCCCAATTCACGGACGCTTCCATCTAAAGTCACACCGTCACTATGTTTTAACAATCCTCACCAAATAATATAGCAACTAGACTTCCATAACACTCCCAACAGTCTGGAAAGTATGATAGGTGCCAACGACACACACATATTTCATCATAATCAATCCGAACATTGCTCTTTCCACTGCAGACCTGAAAGTATCTTTTTTCCTAGCCAGCTCTCCAGCCTCATGTGCTTTCACCGCCAGTAAATCTTCAACGTCTTGCGTTCATCTTTGCGAGGTCGGCCCCTACCTCGCTTTCCCAACTGCACCTTCTATCACAGTTTTTCCCCAAGCCACCATAACGTTTGATGCAGCCGAAATACTTCAACTTTCGGGACAGGGCGCTGTTTATGAGCCAGTTCTCCTTGATGTTTAACCCGTGTAGAATGTTGAACTTTTCCCTCTGCTTGGTCCATGGTATTCTGAGAATTTGTCTGTAGCTATTTAATTCAAAAGCTCAAATCTGTTTCTTCAGTGACTGAGTGATAGTCTAGGAGTTACAACCCACAGGAAAAATGCATGATCTCAAGACTTTAACTAATTTACAGTTGCTTTGCCATAGGTTCTTCATGCTGTTTATTCTCTGCATTGCTAATGCAAGTCATCTTCTGACTTCTTTCCAGCAAGCCCCACTGCTGTTCACTAAAGAGCCCCAGTATTCAAAATCTGTGACATTTTCTATTTCTTCATTTTTGATTGTGAAATGTGGTTGGTGTGCTGTATATACTGAGGACATTTTTTTTTTTTACGGAGGACATTTTTTTTTATATTCAGAAAAAGATTCACTTCACTGTGTTTTTTGACGGCCATAATTAATTTGTCTAAACCTTGTCCACTATTGGAAAGGAGTATTATTTTATACAATTCACTAATTCAGCTAGAACAGTATTTTACTAATATGTTCAACTTGCCGAACAATTACCTTGACGTCCTCAACAGTCTTCTGCTGACATAGGTCCAAGACATGAGTCTGGAGGGAGTGAACAAACAGCGGCATCCTGATCTAATGTTTCACTTCTGAGAAAAAATTTAATACAATGTAACAAACATGTGATGTAATAAAAAAAAAAATGGTTTAGTTTCTAGATAGTTATCCAAATTTATATATATGGTTTTGGGACTTCTCAGGATTATGATCAATATATAATTAATTCAAGGTAAAATTATGGATAATGCATGGGGGAAAACCTTTATGAACTGTGTGTCAGATTTAGCCAATAATTTCATTAGGATATAGAAACAATTAGAATAAGAGACAATTCCTTTTAACTATGCAGACAGATATCCGTGTTTGTACAGTCATGATGCATTATTTCTTAAATAATGTTTTGTGGTTTTCCTGTTGAACTAACATAACCAAAAAATCAGCACGGTGAAATCCCGACTGCCCATGAATGTGCTGGGATGGCCAATGGAAAACACAGTTCAGCCCGATAAAGTTGTGACGACGATAAAGCTTGGCTGAACTGAATGCTCCATGGGTGGGTCCAAGATTTCTACATGGTCCCGACTGAGCTAACAGGCGGTGACAAAAGGCCATGAGGTGTTGGGACAAGGGATTAGGACAGGATATAGTTGGACGGAGTAGAATCTTAGTATGTTACAGTAATATTGTAGTGACTGAACAGATTATGATAATGTGTTTTGTTAGGATAGCTTAGTTTCTCTGTGTTGTGTAGCGTCCAACGGTGATGGGTGTTTTGTACTGTATTACGTAAATTGTGCTGAGGTATTTGGATAGTTAGTGTTAGTTTTAGAATGGCTGTTGTGATGGTATCTATCCTTGCATACTGACCCCACACTTTGCGATCCTGGTAGAGTACAGTCGCATTAGAATAATAGCTTTGTGGGTTTAGACCTGAGTTTTATCCATGGGGATGGAAAGGTGTGCCTGTGGATTTGTAAAGCCAGCACGACCTATGTCTCGGATAAAGGGTGTCCACATTTGTCGACATCAACTGCCACACGTTAGTCTGTCATTTTGTGTGTGCTCTGTGGTTTTTCAGTTTAGTGTGTTTTTGGATAGACTGTCTGTCACAGGCATGTGTCACGTATCATCAAGATCGATCAGGGGTCGGTGACAGATAAATGTGGCACTCTTAACGTGGAAATGGAACTTAATGTGCTTTAGTCCCTAATAGTTAAACCCGGTTAGACTTTTAGGGAGCTGCGTGGTCCCGAGGCAAGGTGTCCGCCGAGTTCAATCAGTAGTATGAGCTAGAATTTTTTCACATGGACTTGGACTTCTAGGAATTCCCCCAGGGCTCTGGGTAGTGAGATCGGACGCCCATGTGTATTGTTGCGCACATAAAAATTCCCTAGGCAGTTGAAAATCGAAAAGAGTAGCCTAACGGCGCTGCCTGGGCAAAATGTGTGGAGTTAAAGATCTACCTAAAGTATTTCAGAATCCTCACCAGAGCTACAGACCCTATGCACTGTTCTGAGCTTCTTTGGACTCAGACTGGAGTTTAAAGAAGAATGGAGAACTTATGGGTTACTACATGTGTGCCATGATGTTGATCAGTTCTTCAAACCTCAAACTCAGACTGTGATTGTGCCAGATAGGCGTTAGAAATAATTTGTACCTATAAGGGAAGTGTTGACCTGATAAATGTACATGTCCTGTGAAATATCTTATATGTTTTGTTCTCAAGCGACTGACTAATGGTAGTAGAAGACATCTTGGCTCTCCTCCGACCCCCACAGTATTGTGGCCTGAAATATCCGTTCGGGGCGCAGTCCAATTAAATATATGCCGGCTCCGTATAACGAAACAAATGCTCTAACAGGGTCTCAGCGATATGTTACTTGCGGACCTGTTTCTTATTGTTTCTGATTACCTGACAATTCTAAGAGACGCACGCAACACTGCAGACGATAGTAGCAGACGATAATAATAGCGACCGTTGACACTTTCCATTGTCGAACTTTCTGCCGACGAACAAATCGCAGCAAATCTAGGATCGGCTCGGAAAAATGAAACAAATGCTCTAACAAGGTCTCAGCGATATGCTACTTGCGGACCTGTTTCTGTGAATATGCCTTACCGCCGAGCTTATCCGCCGAGCTTATCCCCCGCGCCGCAGATAGGGGCTAAACTAGATGGCTGGGACTCACGAGCGGCAGCTACCGCATCTCCCGCAACTTCCTCCAATTACTTTGCTCGTGAGTCCCAGGCACCTGGTTTAGCCCCCATTCGCGCCGCGCGCAGCGGCGTGGGGTATATGCTCAGCGGTGAGTTTAATCGCATTTTGCGCATGCCGACAAGTCTGACATCTACCGTTGCTAAACCCTCAATCGGAAGAACAGTATTGCTAATCTGCGTGGGAGCGCGTGATCTACCCGCTATATCACTTTCATCGTCTGTAATGTCTCGAAATTGTCAACGGTCGCTTTTATCGTCTGCAGAAAATGCTCGAAATTGTCAACGGTCGCTTTTATCGTCTGCAGAAAAAGCTCAACATTGTCACCGGTCGCTTTTATTGTCTGCAATGTTGCTTCTCATGACATTGTAAGATACTCCTAGTTTTGCCACAATATGTTCCTCGGCGGAAACACCGACAAGTCCGTATTTTTAATTGGACTGCGCCCCGAACGGATATTTCAGCCTGCAATACTGCGGGGGTAGAAGTTCGGAGGAAAGCCGAAATCTTTAATCAATTTAATCTTAGTCTTAGGTTAACTGATTGTTGACAATATAGATCTTTGACACAACTGTAGTAGTAGTGACATGCTGATGCTCGGAAATGAAACCGGTCATCTACTGACTCAACAGACTGCACTGCAATGCATAGCAGCACAGTCAAATTCAAAGCAGTAAATCGACAAAAGAAAGAAGATATAATTTAACCCTCTTAGCACGGACGGGCTGATTATCGGCCAGCGGATGTCTGGCCAAAAACACGGAACGGCCGATCATCGGCCCGATCGTGTTTCGCCTCGAACCGCTAAGAAATCTCCTATTTTGAAACACTGAAAGTGATTCATTTATATTAACTGCTGTATCAGCTTTACACATGGCGACTTTCGTGTGTTTGGTATCGAAGTGAAAATTGTTGTTGAATTTTTTAGATAGTAACCTGAACCGCTAAAAGTATGTCTGACTCGTATGTTTCTGCCCCTAAACTTGATTTTGATAAAACATTTGAATCAAGTGATGACACTAATAGTAATTCTGTTGATACTGATGTAGGATTTAGTGTTAGTAGTAATAGTGGGAATCAGATGGGGACGCTGTTGTGTACAGTCACAGCCCAACCATGGCTCAGGGTATATCCACCCGAAGGTGTTGACACTCCGGCACATCCATTTCTTGTGACTTGTGCTGACTGCTGGTGAAAAAACACATGTCACCTAAAGATATTATTGCTGTTTCATATATATATAATACCTGTTTTTGACTATTGAATTGCTTACAACATTTGCAAAAAGGCCAAAGATCAATAAAAAGATTTCAAATAAAAAAAAAATTTGTTTTTAGTTTTATGTTTCAAGCATTGAAGTTGAAAATTCAAATTCAAATTTTCTATTTTTAGATATGCAAATGAGATAATTTGCATATACATAAATTAATTTTAACGATATTGTGAAAGTCATGAACTTCAATCTATATCCTTCAAATAGATATATTATTTCATGGAGGTCAGAATAACAGAAATCTGTCAAAAAATTAAATAAAGTAATAACCAAATTCACTGAAAAAATGCTCCGTTTTTTTGGCTAGACCTCTGAAAAACTTCCGGTGCTAAAAGGGTTAATGTCAATACCTAATTTACTCCTGCAACTGAAATCCAAAGAAATTAAGTTTAGCAAAGACATTCACTTTCACACTTGGCACTGAATATTGGTTTGGTTTCTTGCTCGTGGCAACAAAGAGATTTATACAGACAGCACTCACATTAATATAGATCCAAAAATGAAGATGCGAATTAAATCATTCAATTAATGAAACTTAAAGGTACAAAAATGTAAACCTGACCAAACGGCGTTTGGTCATTGATCATTGATTATTTTGTTGTGAACAGTGGATGAGTGGAATGTTTCTCACAAATTTCTCAGAGCTGAAAATCGAGAATTATCAATTTTATTTCTAAAAAGCACTCCCTCAATCAAGACTTTATGTCATAATGAACAGAAATGAAACAATGGCAACAACTGATGCAGATAAATTTCAGCAAAAGATTAATAATAAACATCAATTTCTCCGTCTCAACTTACCACGCCGTTCTCTCGGTTTGTAGAGTTTAGCAAGGGATGTAATCGTCAATGGTATCCACAGAGAACCCTCAAGTTACCGAAAATAACAATTTAAATCCATTATAGTGACTGGTCACGTTTATCATATTTTAAAGAGCTCGAGAAAATGTTATTTCTCTAATGTGCAAAAATATAAGCTCAAAAACGTACACTAAACGTTAACCATTTTATTTTAACCTGTTGGAATGGGGACATACACACACATGTAGTTAAATAATAGTAATGTTCACAAAAATATTCGGCCTTAACCTAAGGTGGGGGGGGGGGGGTGGGGGGGGATATGATTGAAGTATATACAATGTTGCGCTTTGAATATCCAATTATAGCTCTGGTGGTTGAACAGGATTTTTTTAAAATTACTGTTTCTACATATTTGTGTATTCTTAGCTTAAACAAGTCTTTTAAAAAACGCACACACATACAGGCATGATTTGGAAGCAACAGAGATGTAGTTTCTGAGACGAATGTTAGGAATACCTTGGACGGCCAGAGTAACTAACAACGATTGTTTGAAAGAAGCTAATGAAAGTAGATCTCTATATACAACGATAAGAAGGAGACAAACACTGTTCTTTGGCCACGTAATATGAAGAGAAGCATTAGAAAACATCGTGACAACTGAAAAGATCAGTGGAAAGAAGGGTATAGGCAGACCAAGAGAGACGATGCTGGATGGGCTGAAACGATGGCATAAAGGGATATAATCAAGAGAGCTGTTCCAGGCAACCAGGGATCGTGATCTGTTGAGATGCATGAGCTCCTCCGCCAAGGCACATGATGATAATACACATATCACGCTCATAATTTGTCGGCTTTTTTCGGAAACGTGTGTTTACATTCATTTAAACACCAGTTCCAAGTTTTGAGCTCTGTCATAGGAAATTTATAACGACGGTTATGAAAAGCAATGAGATATCATGAAATCCAAACAATAAAAGTCCATGAAACAACACGTTTGTAATCAATTTAATAATGGCTGAGGTTATTCCATGTCTTCTGAGAGTTGGTGACAGTGTAAAGAAATATAAAATCTTTAAGCTTGATAGAGAGAAGGTAAGATAACTTCTGACTGAGACAGACAGACCTGACAGAAAAATAAAATTAATAAAGTAAAAGCTTGTAACTAGTGTACTTATACAAACTCTACACTTTACAGACTCGACTGTATGTTAACAGTTGCTAATATGTAGTAGTAGGATTTATAATACTGCAACAATAAATATTAAATAATTATAATATTAATGGCACCCGTAAATTGTATAAATGGCTCTTAATCGTTTGATGTCATTATTCATTATCATGATCTATTGCTAGATAAAGACTTCCCAAATATGAATTGTAGAGCGCTTCGCGGAGCGCAGTATTTGTGAATGTAGTTTCTATATAGGTAGAGAAATTGCCAGTACCTAACCTAATTTATTTGCACAATAGTAACAGTGGTAACACCGGTTGGAAAGGACCTCTTATTTCTTATTCAGATTTATTTTTAATTTGTTTAAGTTTAAGAATGTTTTGTGGTTTTCCTGTTGAACTATCATAACCAAATTCATACTTATCAGCAGTGGTTTTTTTCTTCTTCTGGCGGTATATCAGTCAGTATCAACGATGCGCAGTACCGGCACCGTTTAGTAGGCATAATTTGTTAGTACTGCTGTAATAGTAATTTATATTGCGTGATTAGTACCAGCATCATTTTAGACTTTGGTTTGGTTTAGTCGACAGATCAACATGGCACATGGGTGCAACCCATAACTCAAGCCTGAGTCTAAAGAATCTCAGCGCAGTGCAGGAACTCCGGCTATCCTCCGAACTTTGGGCACTAAAGATGGCGGCCGCAAAATATCCTTCCTAGGACCCACGAGCAGCTGCTTCTGCATCTCCTGAAGCTTTGCTCATGAGTCATAGCCATCTAGTTTAGCCCCAGTCCACGCCGCGTGAACGGCACGGGGGACACGTAGCGTTGGCGGTAGTCGCCGGAAAACCGCCGGTGGACCGCAAATTGAGTCACGTGACTGTGGCTCGAAAGGATATTATGCGGCCGCCATCTTTAGTGCCCGACGTTCGGAGAATAGCCGGAACTCCGTAGCACCAGCGAGGATCCTGAAATCTTTGGGTAGATTTTTAACTTTTACTCTCGGCTGTGGCGGTAGTCGCAGGAAGTGCGCAATTGACACGTGACTGAGGCCCTGTTTTTGTTCGCCATCTTTTGTGCCCACTATTCAGGGGTTAGCCCATACAGGCATCCGATCTTACTACTCAGAGGCCAGGGAAAATTACTAGGAGTCCATGTGAAAAAAATCCCAGCCTTTACCGGGGTTTGAACCCAGGACCTCCAGCACTTCAGGCGGATACCATACCTCGAGACCACACAGCCCTCCTTTTTTTTAGGAATTACTTGTACTTTTTTTTTTCCTAGAAAAAAGGCTCTGACAATCAGAATCAGTATTATATGATACAGTGCTTTTATTTGGGTTTGACAATTACAGGCGGAGCTAATTTACTTTTGATACTGGAAATTAATATGTTATGGATACTACTATAGCCAGTATGTTTGTAAATAATTTGTAATACTACTAATTAGTCGTTTACTTTCTAAATAGTTTCTTCTTCTTCTTAGCATTAACCAGTTGTAAACTCTGGCGGAAAGTTCCTAATGTTCATCCACTTTTATACTTAAGTCATGTTCTAGAACTTCAATTTTGTGGGCATATCCATTTTACAGATCTGGCTGTTTGTATGCAGATTCTTGGTTCCCTGCCTCTCAGGCATATGCTCTCTAGCTTTGGAGGAAGAAGCTCCAATTAGCCGCCTTTTACAAGCTTGTTAGGGAGGCAGTGGGTTTCTTCTTCTTCTTCTTAGCGTTCACGGGCTGTAAACTCTGGCATAAAGTTATGGTTGTTCGTCCACTTCTGGGCTCCAGTCCTATTACAAAACCTGAGTGTTCACTTCATTGTTGAGATCATCATCATCATGTGCCTTGCCACTAGCGTAGGTGCTCATGCGTCTCCACAGATCACGATCCTTGGTTGCCTGGAACAGCTCTCTTGATGTTATTCCTCCATGCCATCGTTTCAGCCCACCCAGCATCATCTCTCTTGGTCTGCCTCTACCCCTTTTCCCACTGATCTTTCCAGTAGTCATGGCACACATTTTTTTGTATAGGAAAGAAAGGTTGTTTCACCAAGCAGTTGCTCCTCAGTGTTCAGGCTGAAAATTTAAGCACCTTGCTTATCAAATTCTCTTAAACCTCTAGATCATTCAGTATAATTTTACCTGAAACTTGAATTCCTAAAGATGTTCACAATTTAATAACCTGAGATTTGAAACTATATCTTTCTATACTACAGGTCACCATCGGCAGATCTCCAGAAGTTACTTATGCAATATCCTCCAACATGATATCCCGTTGTCATGCTGTCATCAAACGTCAGATGGATAATACATGGACTATAGCAGATAATAAAGTAAGTGGAAGAATATGTAATGACCCACTTTTATTTTTTGTAAGTATTATTTAGGGCCATGCATAATGAAGGGCTTGAGAAAAGACTACCAGCTTTATTAAGATGAGACACATTGGTATATGGTGATATTATGAATGAATGAATCGACATCACTGCACTGACATTCCTACATGTGCTCCCTTCTTTAGTAAACTGATTAAAAGTTCACCTCTGTTTCCTCTTCAATGTTGAATATCTTCCAGAACCTCTACTCACCCCCTGTTGAATTAGTCTTTCAGTGAATGGATTCCCTATATGTTTTTTGCACTGTCTATTTGATCTCATAGAGCCTTCACTACATCCGCTTTATCATATAGTAGATTACCACCCAGAGGAGCGGCAGCAGCAGAAATGTTATAAGTACTACTCCCTTGTGTGGGTTCCGGGGCCCCATTGTGGGGAAAACAAGAATAGACCCACTGCCTCCCCAAAAGCATGTTGTAAGAGTCAACTAATTGGGGAGCTTCCTTTGAAGACGGAGTGCGTCTGCCGGAGAGGCAAGGAACCAACAGTCTGTATTCAAGAGAATGAGATCTGTAAAACTGATGCACACGCAACACTCAGGTTCTGGAGCAGGACTGCAGTTCAGTAGTAGACGAGCAACCAGAACCTTCCGCCAGAGTTTACAGCTGGTGAACGCGAAGAAGAAGAAGAAGATAAGTACTACTTTCTTCATTGAATTTGTAGAGAGACAACAAAGTGGTCCAGACGTCCTTAATTACGCTTTGTATTCCCTTGTGGTCTCTATTTGCCATTGTGGGGAAAACAAGAATAGGCCCACTGTCTCCCTAATAAGCACATCATAAGAGTTGACTAATTGGTGGTTTTTTCGAAGTCGGAGTGCATGTGCCAGAAAGGCAAGTAACCCACAGTCTGCACACAGATAAGCTAAATCTGTAAAACGGATGCATGCCCAAAATTTAGGTCCTGGAGCAAAGCCAACATCCAGAAATTGATGGACAACCCAGACTTTTTGCCAAAATTTTCAGCCATTGAGTGCAAACAAACAAAACTTTTAAAAGCTGTGATCATTGAAATGTTTTGTGGTGTCTCTGTGAACAGGAATTAATTTTATTTTGTCATGCCTTGTTTTCAACAGAGCTTAAATGGGACCTTTATAAATGGACAACAGATAGAACCATCAACTACACGCACACTTCAGGAAGGTGATTTGGTGCAGTTTGGTGTTCCAGTTTCTCCGGATGCTGCTGCAGAGTTTGTTTATAAATTTTATTCTTCTTTAAAGGTATTATTCCTGTAATCTTGTAGACTGATATGTAAACTACTGCTAAAAAAATTGTTGTATGTTTTATATATTTACGTACAAGGTCCGACAATTAAGTAATGAGACTGATTTTATTTTCGCCATGACAAAAGTTCCATCTATAAAGCAAAGCATGGAATCTATAGGCAACCTATGATCTGGCAACTTTGCATCGCTGCCTGATAAGCAGACAACAAACAAGCCTCCATTTGATTGACCTAGTTAGATGTGCATTGTTACGAAATCAGCATAGAGCAAAAAGCTAACATTAAATTCTGTTTAAAACTCAGAAAAAGCACCATTGAGGCAGTTGAATTGATGCAACAAGTTTATGGGGATAATTGTATATTTGGTGCACAGATATTCAGGTGGCATTCACGATTCAAAAGTGGTGTAGAAATGATTACTAATGCAACTAGACCTGGACGCCCAATTTCTGTTTGTAATGATGAATTCATCGCAAAAGTCACAGGACGGATACAAGAAGATAGTTGCTTTACTGTCAGGATAATGGCAGATTAATCTGATGTTAATAGAGAGATCCTTTGTAAAATTTTAGTGCAAGATTTTGGCAAGAAAAAAGTTGCTTGCAGGTTTGTATCATGTTCGTTGTCTGATGACCAAAAACATCAGTGGGTTGAGTACCCACGAGACGTCATCAAAACAGGAATTTTTGCCCCAAAACAAGTGTGTGTTCTCAACCATCCACCCTATTCTTAAAATTAAAGTTACCATTGAAAGGGCGCTTCTTTGACGATACTGATGATATCCAAAGGGCTGTAACATCGACTTTAAGGACCATAGCAATGGAAGAACTACAGAGGTCATTCCAGTGTTTGTTAGATCGTGCTACTCACTGTATCAATGCACATGGGGCTTACTTTGAATAAAATACATGTTATTTCTTTAGCAGTTGATTTTTAAAATTTTTATGGAATTAGTCTCATTACTTAGTTGTCGGACCGTGTATGCGTAATAGTCAGTATACATTCTGTTATGTGTGCTAGATCCAAACTATGTAATAATGTTTGACCGAAACATTGGAAGATGAGAGGAGGAAACATCAAGATGCTGCTTCATTTACATGTATCATTGTTGCCAGCATCATCTTTATATATTTAATAGACAGTTATGACTAAATCCTCATCAAGGTCAATTTTAAAAATTGATCTGACCCTGTCACCCTGTGAGGCAGTGAACCCGGCAGGCACATTGTTGCCACATTCCCATTTATTCAGCAAAACCAGCATGTCTATATTGAATTGTTTTCCAGAAGTGTAGTTTAGCATAATTGGTTCTGTTCATGCTTGCACAGTGGTGAGGAGGCATGGACATAAATATATTTCTTAAAACTAGCTGGGGGAGAGGGGGTTGTCTTATGAATCAGATGGCTTTTTTGTAGCTTTGTTGAGTTCAGTTTTCCCCGTAGTTTCAGTGATAGAGGTCACAGAATGAGTCATCCGATATACGTTTTTTGTTCAGGCTCTGGGAATGTATTCCATTTAATGCTTCTCTCTGTTCATGATAACTAATTACTGCCTTTGTGTGTCTTCATATATATCAGAAAACAAAGAAACAAAAATAGATAAATTTATTTTAAATGTATTAGTGCCCTGTGTAAAATGACTAAATTAACAAACCAGCAGCACATGACAGGGACTGTAAGAAGAAGACATTTCTTATGAGGAATATGTGACTAGAAGACTAGAATGCCATCTATATACTTTGTGGGGAAATGTTCTTTGTTTATCAGTGAGGAAGCTGGTTTTGTTTACTGGAGGTGGAACAACATGCTGTGCCCCAGCTGCCTAGGCAAGTGACCTTTATTGCTGAGCCCAGAAAATACTTCCAACAAACTACCAGCAATTGATACAAATACTGCAATGATAGTTTAGTTTTTAGTTAGATATATTGTTCTTTCATAAATACCCTGATGATAGTTTAGTTTTTAGATATATTGTTCTTTTATAAATACCCTAATGATAGTTTAGTTTTTAGTTAGATATGTTCTTTCATAAATACCCTAATGATAGTTTTGTTTATGGTTATATTTTTTTTTAAATAAATACCTTAATGATAGTTTAGTTTCTAGTTAGATTTATTGTTCTTTCATAAATACCTTAGTGATAGTTTAGTTTGTGGTTAGATTTGTTATTCTTTTATAAATACCTTAATGATAGTTTAGTTTCTAGTTGTTATTATTTTTGCATAAATACCTTAATCATAGTTTAGTTTGCGGTTAGGTTTATTTTTCTTTCATAAATAACAAAATGATAGTTTAGATTGTAGTTAGATTTTTATTTTTTTCATAGATACTCTAATGATAGTTTTGTTTGTTGCCAAATTTATAGCTTTCCCTCCATAAATATCTTAATAATTGTTTTGTTAATAGCTGGAATTACCGCTCTTTCTTAAAAATCGTATTGGTAGTTTAGTTGCAGTTAGATTTATTCTTCTTTTATAAATACCCTAATGGTAGTTTAGTATGCAGTTAGTTATTGTTCTTTCTTCAGTTTGTTCACTCTGTTGAACAATTATTCACAGAATATACTGTATTTAACTTTATTCCTAACTCAATTCCGTAAAAAAAGATCCTGCATTATCCATCTGTTATTTCATCAGGTTCGCATGGAAAAGGCAGGCGGTAAAAAATTAAAATTGGAATCTAACATCGGTGTAAATAAGGAGACTTTAGGTGCCAGTGAGTCTTTTGAAATGGATGACTGTGAAATGAAAAGGAAAAAAGCTTGTATCCAGGCAGTAAGTAAGCTGATTATAATATAACTATTTTCTCTACCACACCATTTTCTATATTAGCTACAATATTTTATATAATAACTGCTATATTTCCCTAATGAATAGCAATATTCTTTTGTTATATCTGCTATTTTCTTTATTAACTACAGCATTTTCTGAGGTTTATCCTTGTAAGGGTGTACACAGAAAAACAAGAATAGAAGAATTTGAATTAACAAGGATTGGGTATCATAACTGAGTTCATATAATGCTCTGTAATCATAATCTATGAGATTCTGATTTTAATCACAATATATGAAATGGGTAATTATCAAATGAGTGTTTCTTGTGCATACGGCATAACAAGACAACATAACATTTACCACCGCGTGCAGCTCACCATGCGTCCTCCCCATCTTTATCACTTCACTCTCATTTTCCCCTCCCCATCTTTATCAGTTCACTCTCACTCTCATTTTCCTTTCTGTTTGTGTTTTTGGGCCTGCCTTTATTCCTTTGACCCTGGTGGTTCCAGTGCAAGCAGTGGTGCCTCATGGGTAAGCACTTTGGTACAGCGGCTTCTTATCTCAGACACATACGCTCAAGATATTGAACAGATTATTCTCCCCATGTGGGTTCTGTGGCCCCATTGGGGGGGGGGGAGAGAGGGGGATAAATAGATTTAGTACCATCATAACAGTCATGTCATAAAAGATGACTAATTAGAGAGGTTATTTCCTTCAAAGTTGAAATGAATTTGTTTGAGAAATAAGGAAGCAACAGTCTTCTTAAAAATAAGCTTATCTGTAAAATAGATGTGCAGGCAAGCTCAAGTTATGAAATGAAACCAAAGTCCAGAAGTAGACGAACCAAGAGAATGTTCTGGCAGATATTACAGCTGGTTAACAGCAAGAAGAAGAAGGAGAAACAAACTGTTCGACTCTTGTACGCATGCGCACCAGAAGCTGCAGTTTAATAGAGCCTGCCTACGAGCATCGGGTTTTCTCAGAGTGTGTCCTATTCAAGGCTAGCATCCTTTCCTCACCTCTTGATTGAGTCTTTCAAATGAATATTCTGTGTGATGAATTTTCTAATAATGAATGTACGTTACATGTGTTTCAGCAGAGTGCTAATTCTAGGCTGTCTGATTCAAGAGAAGTGGACTCTTCAAACAACTCAGTACGTCAACTCATGGAAGAATCTCACAAAAGGCAGGTGGAAAAAGAAGCAGAGTATCTTGCTCGTTTAGCAGAGATGGAAAGACTTCTTAAAGAAAAAGAAGAACATGAGAGACAGGTTAACACATTTTTGTAAATTTGGGTGTGTAATTTTTGTATGCTAGACTCAGGATTTTAAAAAATTGTTATCACTTGTCTGGAAAAATGGGGACATTATTCATGATCTGAACTTTCTACTCTAATTTTTGTGGGGGAGGAAGTATTAAATAAAAATAAGGCAGTGGTAAAACCGAGAAAGGGAGAGCGCACATTTTTAAAAGCCATTCTTACCTGTTTTTATTGAAATCATAGTGATTGCTTAATTTTCAAAGTTAACAAAAGTATTATGTTGTAACCAATCAGGTTTAACCTGATTGTTAATAATAATTTAAATGTAATTCTTGGGTTTTGATTTCTTCTTCTTCGCATTCACCAGCTGTACACTCTGGCGTAAAGTTCTAGTTGTTCGTCCACTTCTGGACTGCAGTCCTGCTCCAGAACCTGAGTGTTGCGTGTGCATCAGTTTTAACAGATCTGATTCAAATGTAGACTGCTGGTTCCTTGCCTCTCAGGCAGATGCACTCCGACTTCAAAGGAAGCTCCCAGTAGTCGACTCTTACGACATGCTTTTAGGGAGGCAGTGGGTCTAAAATAGGGCCCCGGAACCCACACGGGGGGAGATTTGAAAACACTGAGTGGAAGAGGGATCTGAGGTGACAATTTCTAATAGCACCACGCTACCATGCTGACAGCATGTATTTCTGAATAAGAGACTTTCTGTACCAACAGTTGGATAGAATTTCTATAGACATCCTCTTCAACAAGTCAGTAAATATAACTCAGGGAGTCTCAGAGCAGCGTAAAAGTACCAAATCTCTTCATGGTTTTCAGTACTAATAGTGATAATTATCGCCACTTCTTCTTTCTTCTTTGCGTTTACCAGCTGTACACTCTGGCGGAAAGTTCTGGTCGCTCGTCCATTACTGAACTGCAGTCCTGCTCCAGAACCTGAGTTTTGCATGTGCATCAGTTTTACAGATCTCATTCTCTTGAATACAGACTGTTGGTTCCTTGCCTCTCCGGCAGATGCACTCCGACTTCAAAGGAAGCTCCCCAGTTAGTCGACTCTTACGACATGCTTTTGGGGAGGCAGTGGGTCTATTCTTGTTTTCCCCACAATGGGGCCCCGGAACCCACACGGGGGATTATCACCACTGATGGACATGGGAGTGCAGCCTGGATCTGCAAGAAATGAACATTTCACTGAGGAGACAAGATGTTTCATTAACCAACACAGGACAGGCGTCATCAGTCGTTTTACACTTGTGGAGCTGTTGAGGAGCAGATCGGTGAGCTGACTGTCCTGAGTTTCCTTTCTACACTAATAATTATCACAGCACGCTCCAACAGCCTACACGTACAGGAGCTATATGAAACCAGTGCTAGTGAATAACTTTGCTGTTTAGATGACCACTGAAAACACCTCATGAGCCTTCAAAAATCAGTGGAGAAAGTAGAAAAGTGGAATGAATTGGGGTCTCTAAAACTTTCATTGACACCATTGTGTCTTTCCAGACAATATATTGTGTGATAACTGTATTACCTGATCTGGCAGCGCTGCCAACTTCCAAACAGCTCCAAAAGCATCACTTATTTAACAAAAGAAGAGAATAATCAAATCAGTCAGAAGGCCGCCAAAACTGGCACAGGTCGATCACCATTTTATGGACAGACCAGAGCAAGTTATTACTCTTCGCCTAAAACAGCACAGAATCTACTTTGCAGCCACATGTACACAAAATATAAAAACGGCAAATCAGCCATGTGCACATGTGGAATGGCACCTGAGACAACAGTTCATGTCCTCCAAGACTGTTCCAAATATAACATATCAAGGCAAAACTTTTGGCCAAGAGAAACATCAGTGCAAGTCAAACTTTACGTCTCGCTGAGTGAATTACAAAAGACCGAGGTTCATACTAGAGACAACATTGCAGATATAGATAATCCATTTCAAGCGAACGAAAGAAGAAGAAGAATTTAACAGAGTAACTGTAATAACCTTTGTGATCGCCATCAACTTTTTTCTTCAAATAATGGTCATGCTTTTTGTTGTCTTTTATGATGAAATTGTTCATTTGTCTTTATCCATTTTCTGTTCTTTTTTTTGTTCATTCAGGTTAAAGGAGGAATTAGAACAAGAAAGGAAAGAGAAAGAACACCAGGCTAAAGAGGTTGAAGAGCTAAAACTGATGGAGCAGGTCTTTTTACAAGAGATGCGAGACAAGCAGGTTTGCAAACATGTTCATGATACCATGTAATAATTAAAGTACCCTGTAATCCGAGAAAAGAAAATCTAGTTACTTTAGGTTGGGACACATTCCTGAGTAAATTTAGATGTATCGGCTTTTCTACAGCGACCTGTTCTCAGAAAGTATAGTTAAATGCTATTGGTTCTGTGTGCTCCCCTGAGCAGTATTTATGTGTTAACTTTAGAAACATAGTAATGGAGGGGGGGGGGGGGGGGCATTTAAAAACTCAAGTTGATGTAACATTTTCCCATATACCTGAAATGGATGTGCATGCAACACTCAGCTTCTGGAACAACAGGACTAGAGTCCAAAAGTGGACGAGCAACCAGAACTTTCTTCCGGAGTTAAAAGATGGTGAACGCGAAGAAGAATATATATATATATATATATATATATATATATATATATATATATATATATATATATATATATATAGGTTATATATATATATGGGGGGACGATATATATATATATATATATATATATATATATATATATATATATATAGATATATATATATATATATATATATATATATATATAAGTATATATATATGAGATATATATATATATATCTATATATATATATATATACTATATATATATATATATTTATTTATTTGTTTGCATTTTGTTAAAAACAATGTTTATAAATAAATCTGATAAAAATGTATCAGGGACCTATGTCAAATTTGTGTGTCTGTGTGTGTGTCTTCCCACAAGAGAAGATAGTATTCTGATTGCTGTAATTTATTCGTTCTTGCCTGCATGTGTTACTTACTTTCTGCTAAAATGTGTATCTGTTCTTGTGGTATTTATATATGGTGGCTGTTATGCACCTGCTTATCTAAACATGGTTTCGACCGTGGAGACAGGAAGGAGAATTGACTGGGCTTTAGTCGTAAAAAACAAACAAATGAAGCCTGGCTGGCTTTCAGCTGGGTCTCGATGAAGGGATGTTCTGCAAAGTTGTAATATTAACTAATGTGGTTTATCTAACTGAAGAGCTGAATGAATACCCCTTGTTTGTCTGTCAAGCTTGTACTCTGTTTTATTTTATTTCTCAGGAAGAGTTAGAAAGAGAAAAAGAAGAATTAAAAATGAAAATGCAAGCAGAACTTGAGGCCAGTGTTAAGGAACGAGAAACAACATTGATGGCCCAGTTAGTTGGCCAACGAGAACTACTGCTGTCTGAAAAAAAGCAGGTAAGAACGACTCGACACAGATTCCAAGTAACCTTATCAGGTGATGATTATAGACGTTTATAAAGTTACTGTGTTGCTAAAATGATGGAGATTATACTTATACTTTTTTTAGTTTATGTCATTAGTGAGGTAGTCATCTTAATTTTTCAGCAGTGATGCCACATAACTTGCCTACATTTGCGGAGAACTCTCAACATCCTTAGCAACATTACTGCCAACCTGCTTGAGAACAAGAGGAAAATACTTTGATGGCTTAGCCACAAGGCATTGGCAAAACAGAATCTATGATTCTGGTGTTCGTGTGAATGGCACTTAACATATTTTATTTCTGCAGGGCCCAGTAATATATAATTTCCGTCCCAATATGGGGCACAGTTTTTGTTTGAATGTCAAAGCCTCACCTAGGGTGCTGTCGGGAGCTCTAATATAACCTAGAAAAAAAAAGTGCCTGCTCATGCTGCTAGAGCTTAGCATGTTGTACGAGTCGCGGATGGAGGAAAAAACATCTACACAAACTTGAAAAGTATAGAGATCTGTTGGCCAGTCTGAGGAGAGATGAGGCGTACACAGCAAAACTCTTCACCAATGAGGTAGGCTCAAGAGGGCTTATCTGCACTTCCACATACAATGGACTAAAGCATACACCATTAAAGCACTTTATAAAGACGCAAGTAGTGCAGTACTCATTCAAAATGACATTGGAAAATTTTTCAAAACCATTGTGGAAGTCAGACAAGGTTGCATACTATCCCCTGTCCTTTTCAATTTATATTTGGAACACATAATGAGAGAAACACTAGAAAATCATAACACATCTATATCCAATTGCGGAAGACAACAGTGTCATTTTGCAGACAACATAGATCTCATTGCTGGTTCCGAAACAGAACTCCAAGATATAACAAAATTGGAGACAGTCTGTCGTAAATATGGCATGGAAATTAATGTAGAGAAAAGCAAGATTCTGGTAAATTAAAAAAAAAATTTAAAGATCCCTTTCCACGCCTTTAGTCATATCGGGCATATGGGAAGAGCGCCCCATATTTTTACAGACCATCAGCACTCGGTGGGTAATGTGGTCAGCATTACGCCGGCTGTCTTTACTTTCCTAGGACAACCTATCCTGGTACCCATTTTAGGCTGGGTCGACCTGCGACGCCCCATACCATGATAAAAATCCATGCAGCCAGCAGTGGGTTTTGATCGCGGTACGCTGGATTACGAGTCGGACTCGCAACGCCAAAGCCACTAGAAGTTGAAACCTTTGAATATCTTGGCTCCCACATATGCAACAATGGCAGCTGTACCATAGAAATCAAAACAAAACTTGATATGACAACAGCCGCAATGTTGCAGCTGAATATTATGTGGAAGAGCAAAATCAGCATCACAGTTAAGGTCAATATTTACAAATCACTGGTGATGTTATTTTCTTATATGAATGTGAGAGTTGGACTCTCACTGTGGAAATGGAAAGGAGGATTCGGGCTTTCAAATGTAAATGCTACAGGCGCATTTTACAAATGAGTTATTTAGAACACAAAACTAATAAATATGTCAGAGACAAAATATACAAATTTGCGGAACATCAGGAGCCTCTCTTGGCCATGGTGAAATGTCGCAAGCCAGCTTGTTTTGGGCACGTGGTGAGACATGATTCGATTGCAAAGATTGTACTTTAGGGAACATTGGGGGTTAGTCGAAGAAGTGGAGGGCAAAGAAGAACCTGGAATGACAACATCAAGAAATGGACAGGACTAAGTTATCATACAATTATTTATCAAGAGACAGACAGAGACAGTTGGCGGGTTTTATGTGCTAGTGCTTACATCAATACACCTCCACAACCCTAACAGGTCAAGGGTTATGTTATGTTATGCTAAAGCACCTGGGCTTGCAAGGAAAAGACCATAAACGGACGCTAGAACAACTGGGTGAAGCTACTGAAAGAGCTTCGAGCTGGCTGTGGACACAACAGAAAGTCATGGGGGATGGGCCTTGGTAGACTGGTCCGAGCCCCTAGTGAAATGAACTTTTCGATACCAAAAGCCACAGTGTCCGAGTAGCGTCTGCCAGTGTCTCTCTGCCAGTTGCCAAAGTCTAACATCTGTCCGATGAAACACGTCCACTTGTCACTCTGGTCCTGAAGATGAGTGGCTAATTTGCTACCGCAGCAACAATATATATAACACCAAACCTCACAATACCTGTTGCCACCATTTCATCTTATCCGATGTCCGATAAGCACAGCAGGAGAGTCCAACGCCTGGGAGTCATGGCCCAGGTCAGCCCACCTTTTGAAATTGTGTAGGAGGAAAATGGACTGAAACAATGGTTGACGAGGGACCTTTTACTGATGACCGGTAAATTCCTGTTGTGCATGCTCCTACTGTGGAGTTATTATTATTATTAGATACAAGAAAGTTAAATATTCTGTCTCATTTATCAGTAGTAATATACTTTTTAAAATCATCTTCTAGGTAGAGGAGAGTTTGCAGAAAGAAATGGAAAAAGCACTAGAAGAGAAAAATAAAGAACTTGAGCAGCAGCTACTAAATCAAAAACAGAAACTTGAAAAGGTGGGTGTTTTTTAACTGCAGCAAGGCCAGTTATTTATTCCGTGCATTAGAAAGCTAACTGGAACTGTAGCGTTGTAATGGTTAATACACTCATTGGCCAGCCCAATAGTTCTGGGTTCAGATCTTCACTGAAGGTAGTATTACTTTATTATCATTATCACAGAGCTGTGTGGTTGATCCAGCCTCATAACATGGGTAGAAGAAAATGTTCTGGTATGTGGGCCCAGTGTGAAACAGTTTTTGCTATGATGGTCATAAAGAATTGCTCTTGACTCTTAGGTCAGCCTGGCATAAAATAGGTGCAAGGAAATATACTGGGAAGTAAAGTAGGTCAGTATATATTAGGTGGCATGGGTTAAGGGGGAGGGGGTGTTCCTTATAAACCCAGTGGCTTTTTAAAAGCCAAGTTGATGCAATATGTTCCCATAAACCTTAGTGGTAGAGGTCACAGGGTCACGGAATGTGTCACCCGATACATATTTGTTTGAGGCACCAGGAAATGCATACTATTTTCTGCTTTATTCTGTTCTGTGTGTAAATACATTTAAAAAAAATAATTTATAAATGACCAATGAAAAATGATTTTTTGTTGGGGGGGAGGGGGGATTTTGTGTGTACGTAGCATTCACAGGGTAAAACTATAACCCAGTAGTTATGGGTTGAAATCATCACAGAAAGTGATATCACTTCATTATTATAGGGCTCCGTTGTTGACCCAGTTTCATAAAATGGATAAAAGAAAACTTCCTGGTCGAGGGAAGCGGGGTAAGAAAGTCAGATTTAGTTATGATCATTATACAGAATTTATCTTGGGGTCCCAGGTCAACCCAGCGTAAAGTGGGTACAAGGAAATATTCTGGAATGTAAAAATAGTATAAATATTTTATCAACTTAATGGTTTTTATTGCTTTGAACATATGTAAAATACATTGCATTTTTTTCTTTAATAAAGGTGCTTGAAATGAAAGATATGGAGCAGAAACTTCTAGAAAATCAGTTAAATGAAACAAAACAAGAAAATGTCACTGCCAAACTTCAGGTGCTAAAAGCTAGAGAAGACATCTTGTCCAATTTTGTTGAACTAATGGAAATGGAATTACAATGTGCCATCTGCAACGAGCTATTTATTAAGGTAGGTTATCTGTCTCACATATTTCATCTCCACAGGATACAGAAACAGATTGCCTCCTAAAGGGTAGAAACTGCAGCTGGTCTCAACAAGCGTGTTTGGGAATGAGCAGGAAGATAGATTGGCTGCTGGCCCCATTTGAGGGTGTACTGCAACTGCACCAGGCACAGATAATCTCTCACCTGTGGGGGGAGGTAGCAAGTGAAATGGAATTGATTGAAAACCCGTACCTGGAGAGAGAGGTACAGCCGGGAGTGTCTGCGGGCTCTGGACACCACTCAAGTTAACCAGATGACAGTGCGTACCATCACCATGCAACTCTTTTCTGGCTTTTGAGGAGAAAGATGGAGCTAATATGGGCTTGTCCTGAATCCTTTGATGTTGAATCTTTACCCAAATGCACCAGTTTATCTCAGCACTTTTGTCTCTAGCCGTAAACTCTGACAGACTACTGTTGGCCCATCCCATGAGGTTTTGCTCTTGCTTCAAGGTCATTTAGAGTTGTATTTTCTGAGAATTTTCCTTAGCTTAGATGCAATCAGTTTAGTTATCAAAAGTACACTTCATGTCATCATGACATCAGTTACATTGCGTTATTAAAAGTATGCTTCATGTCATCATGAAGTCAGTTACATTGAGTTATCAAAAGTACGCTTCTTGTCATCATGACGTCAGTTACATTGAGTTATCAAAAGTACACTTCACGTCATCATGACGTCAGTTACATTGAATTATCAAAAGTACGCTTCATGCCATCATGACGTCAGTTACATTGAATTATCAAAAGTACGTTTCATGCCATCATGACGTCAGTTACATTGAATTATCAAAAGTACGCTTCATGTCATCATGACGTCAGTTACATAGTGTTTTCAAAAGTACGTTACATGTAATCATGACGTCAGTTACATTGAATTATCAAAAGTCTGCTTCATGTCATTATGACGTCAGTTACCTTGAGTTATCAAAAGTACACTTCATGTCATCATGACGTCAGTTACATTGAGTTGTCAAAAGTACACTTCATGTCATCAAGACGTCAGTTACATTGAATTATCAAAAGTACGTTTCATGCCATCATGACGTCAGTTACATTGAATTATCAAAAGTACACTTCATGTCATCATGACGTCAGTTACATAGTGTTATAAAAAGTACGTTACATGCCATCATGACGTCAGTTACATTGAGTTATCAAAAGTACGTTACATGTCATCATGACGTCAGTTACATTGCAGTGCTCCATCAAGCTTATTGGCTCAGTACATCCAGTTTTCCAAAGCAAATAATTTTTTTAGTGGTTCAGTGAATAAAATAATAGTAATACGTCATTTGGTTGATCTAAAAACTAAAAAAAAATTCCAGTGAATCAAGAGGTGAAGAAAAGATGTTGCTTTTGGATAGGACACACTTTGAGAAAGCCTGAAAACTAAATAACTACAATGTCTTTGCACTGGAACATTAGGGGCATAGAAATAAAAGCAGACTAAAAACACAAGGAGAAAGCGGCTAGAGAGTGAAATTAAAAAAGATAGGAAGAACATGCAGTCGGCTGCATGCATTAGCAAAGGATAGGATGGTTAGGCTTGAGTTGTTTGAGGGCATATGCTCTATTGGAGTATACAAGGAAGAAGAAGAAGAAGAAAAATGCATTATTTTCAATAATTTAACAGTAATACATTATATCCAAATATTTATATTAGTATATTTTAAAGTCTTGCACGAGCATAATCAGCACGTGGAATTCTTTTTCAGGCAACATCTTTAAACTGTGCCCACGTTTTTTGCAAGCTATGTATCGGCCAGTGGATGAAAGTTAAAAAGGAGTGCCCAAACTGCCGCTGTCCTGTCACGTCCCAGTTGCAAGCTATTGCTCTGGATAGCTACATAGATAAAATGGTAGAACAGCTCAATGATGAAATGAAACAGAGAAGAGCGTCCTTTGTAGAACAGAGAAAAGGTAAGGTTTTTTTTTTTCTTACAGTGTAATCCATGTGTTGTTAGTAATCCTTTTCGTCTACAGTATTTTGCCAATAATTTCGGATTCATAAGCTCTTTAATTTCTTGATGCCTGACTAGCTATCTTATCACAGTGACCTCTAGTTTTCTCCTTAGTATGGGATCAAAGAATATAGATTGTCTCCTTCTGATGTAGATAATTTCTCTACATGAGTTATTTCTTTCAAAGCATCTTCATTTCACATTTTTCTCTCCCTATGGTGTTCTCGTTCATCTGACAAAAACCACATCTCTGCAGTTTCAACAAACTTTTTTTTTTTAAATAAATTTTTTTTATTTCTAACTTTGCTAATTAGCTGACTGTCTACACCAGCTGTCTCTGACCTTTTTCGGGTTGTGGCCCACCCCTTTTTTTATTGTAGTGCAAGACCTCCACGCTCCCTTGAGTGTATGGCAAGACCCCCACACTTCCTTGAGTGTATGGCAAGACCCCCACACTCCCTTGAGTGTATGGCAAGACCCCCACACTCCCTTGAGTGTATGGCAAGACCCCCACGCCCCCTTGAGTGTATGGCAAGACCCCCACGCCCCCTTGAGTGTATGGCAAGACCCCCACGCCCCCTTGAGTGTATGGCAAGACCCCCATACCCCCTTGAGTGTATGGCAAGACCCCCACACCCCCTTGAGTGTATGGCAAGACCCCCACACTCCCTTGAGTGTATGGCAAGACCCCCACACTCCCTTGAGTGTATGGCAAGACCCCCACACTCCCTTGAGTGTATGGCAAGACCCCCACACCCCCTTGAGTGTATGGCAAGACCCCCACACCCCCTTGAGTGTATGGCAAGACCCCCACACCCCCTTGAGTGTATGGCAAGACCCCCATGCCCCCTTGAGTGTATGGCAAGACCCCCATGCCCCCTTGAGTGTATGGCAAGACCCCCACACCCCCCCTTGAGTGTATGGCAAGACCCCCACACCCCCTTGAGTGTATGGCAAGACCCCCACACCCCCTTGAGTGTATGGCAAGACCCCCATGCCCCCTTGAGTGTATGGCAAGACCCCCATGCCCCCCTGAGTGTATGGCAAGACCCCCCACACCCCCCCCCTTGAGTGTATGGCAAGACCCCCACACCCCCTTGAGTGTACGGCAAGACCCCCACACCCCCTTGAGTGTATGGCAAGACCCTCATGCCCCCTTAGAACTCGTTGTCAGTAAGATAGTGTGAATGAAATAATACTGAAACTACTTATTCTTGTTAGGTTCACAGGCTTTAAATTGTAGTGGAAAGTTCTGGTTGTTCTTCAGTGCTGGATTCCCAGACCCAAAGGATTTCCGGGGTGAAAGGGTAAAGCTGTATGGGTAAAAAAAAGATAATAAAGAAAGAAGTGTTTTCTGTTTGCTGTTACTTTCTTCATGAAGTGTATATTAAAAGAAAAAAGACTATCTACTGAGAACAAGATTTTGTGAAGTACAATTAGATGAGTACTTTAATTAATACAAGGAATCCCACATTGTATAAACAAAAATTGTCACATGGGCAATCTTAGACTTCCATGGTGAGATGTACTCAGTACCGAGAGACCATGTGATTTATGTTTTTCGCTTGAAAGGATTTATGTTTTGTACTTCATTATATGTTGATGTTAACTCTGTAGTAATTCACATGATGGGATACAGTGAAAAATGTTTTGCGAGAACATCCGTTTTACCTATGTGGTTTATTTGCAGGCAGACTGATGGTTCCTTGCCACTCAGGCAGATGTCCTCGGACTTCGCAGGAAATATCCCTAATTAGTTTATTTTTACAGCATGCTCGTTAGGGAGCAGTGGGTCTACCCCCCCCCCCCCCCTCCTCCACAGAGAGGCCTCGGAATCCACATAGGGTATCCTTCTTATTTATTTAAAAGCAACTGTATGTGTTAGAAAGCACAGCTGTACTAGTCTGTTTGTCTAATAGCTGAGCAAGACAAATTTGATGCAGCAGAAGCTGGTCCTTCAAGCACAGTGGCTGCTGCAGCAACAACAACAAACACAGGCGGAGCTGGAGCTGCAAGGGGTACTGGAAATAGAAGAGCCCGGGGGAGACCCAGAGGAAGGGGCAGAGGAAGAAACAGAGGAAGAGGAGGTACGTTATATTTGTGATTGTGTCATGATCTAATAACTGTTTCACAGGTGTGAGAATTGTGGCTTCAATAATAGAATTGAATGTTTGCTAATTCATTTATATTTTATATTTCACAGTCATTAAAAGAAGACAGTTGACACTTTTGAATTTCACTGTTTTGATGCCACACAACTCACCACAGGTTCATTAGTTAGTCCAAAGATAAAGCACATATATAATCCTCCCCCCGTTGCAGATAGATGTTATAAGGGGCTTCAAATGAAAACATTGAAAGTGTGATAGAAATTACAGTGGCCATGCCATTGTCTTGTAAGCTGTCAGTATTGTTGTTAAGGATTTCAAGAGTGTTAAGCTCATGGCATCACTGTGCAGAGAAGCGCAGTGACAAAATAATGAGACATTCAAGATGGCTGCACTACTTTTGACATGCACCAAAGAGGAGCAGCATTCTGTTATCCATTTTTGGATCAATGAAAGGGTGAAACCTATAATATAGTATGGTGATGTATGCCTGTCAAATCCAGCTGATGTATGATTGAAGTAGGAAGTTTCAGAATGGTGTGACTTCTGTTACAGACTGTTCACGAATGGGTGAGGCACACTGAGTACTGACCCCAAAGTTAATTGCAGCCATTGAAGGCCTCATAAAGGAAAACTTTGATTGACTGTGAGTGATTTTGTTTTAGGCGGGGTTGGGGGTGCTGGGAGGGATGGGGGGGGGGGGGTTTTTTTTCTTGGGGGGGGGGTGATTAATCAGTTAAAAATGACTAAATACAAGTAAGCTGTGTGTTGTTTGCTGACTGAACTCACTTCCATAATTGTCGTTGGCACTGTGCCAAAGTCACCTAAGAGCCCTTTGACAGCCAGGAAATGTATTGTGAGCTGCTTTCTACTGAAAGAGTTAATAACCTGGCTTTTGCATCAGAACTTTCCACTGGACGGCGCAGCCAAACCCAAGACCACCCTCCTTTAACTGTCTCTTACAAAGTGTTTGGGAGCTCTAGTATCTTAGTAGCTAGACAACTTGCCTGAAGGCCTAAAGGTCTTAGGCTGGAATCCACATCGAGTCAGATTTTTTAAAAGAATGACTGGCTCCCAGGTCGACCCAACTGAAAATGGATACCAGAAAAAAGTCCTGAAAAATAAAGGCAGATGATCTAATGTTGGCTACATTACCCATTGAGTGACAATTGGTCTCTATCAAAATATCTTCTTCTTCTTCTTTCGCTTGCTTGAAAAAGATTATCTATATCTGCAATGTTGTCTCTAGTATGAACTTCACTGACTTTTGTAATTCACCCAGTGACCTGTAAAGTTTGACTTGCACCGATGTTTCTCTTGGCCACAAGTTTTGCTTTCATATGTTGTATTTGGGACAGTCTTGGAGGACATGATCTGTTATCTCAGGTGCCAGTCCACATGGACACACGGCTGATTCACTGATGTTAAATTTTGTGTACATGTGGCTGATAAGTCGATTGTGTTCTGTTCTAAGGCATAGAATAATAACTTGCTCTGGTCCGTCCATAATATGGTTATCGTCTTGTGCCGATTTTGGTGGCTTTCTATTAAAATATCTTCTTCACTTTCATCGGCTGTAAACTCTGGCGGAATGTTCTGGTTGTTCATCAAACTTCTCGACTTTAATCTTGTTCTACAACTTTAGTTTTGCTGGCACATCCGTTTTACAGATCTGGCTTATTTGTCTGCACACTGTTGGTTCCTTGCTTCTCAGATGGATGCATTCTTGACTTCTGAAGAAACCCCTAATTAATCTACTCTAAGGGCATGCTTTTTGGTTAGGGAGGCAATAGTTCTTTTCTTTTCCTCCCGCACTGTAGGGGCTGTAGAACCCACACTGTGATATTAAAATATGAGTCTAGCCTGAATGGCCCAATGCCACTGGTGTATTGAGGCTTCTGTCTTCACTCACAACATGCTTGATACATTACAGCGCTACTAGTCTTTGCTTCCCATGAGGATGTTCATAATATACGCACCACCCCAATAAGTCCTAGCATGATTTTTATTAAATGTTCGTAATATACGCACTACCCCAAGTATAAGCCCTAGCATGAATTTTTTTCAGGATGTTCGTAATATATGCACTACCCTAATTATAAGCCCTAGCATGATTTTTTTTAGGATGTTTGTAATATATGCACCAATCAATTATCAGCCCTAGCATGGTTTTCCCCCCAGGGTGTTTGTTATATGCGCACCTCATCAAATTTAAGCCCTAGTGAAGATTGTCAGCCAGATGTCACAAACACATCTATAAAATAATGAATGTATAAAAAATATAAATGAACTAGCTGTTCCCGGCCATGCGTTGCTGTGACATAGTTTGGCTAAAAGGAAATGAAAGAAAATAGAAATCGCACGTGTCTAATACAATCATTGTCTGCTCAGATATAGTCTTTGATTCCCCCCCCCCCCCCCCCCCACCCCACACCACAACTAAATCCACCTACTACTATCTCCCCCATCAAAGGTTTTTGGAAAAGAAAGACAATGGAAATCGCACCTGTCTAATATAGTTAATGTGGCAATCATTCTCTGTACAGATATAGAGATAGTCTGGTTTTTCAACTTTAGAACACACACCTTATAATTGTGTCTTTATATTATTGGTCGTTTAAATTGTGTTATTAGCACAGTTACAAAAATTGGTTATCACATGCTAAAGCTGTGTGTATTTGTATAGGAGACGGAAGTAAAGCTACAACTGTACTTGTAAATAACAAAGTTAGTCGTAAAAAAAATAGAATAGCGGAGGTAGCGCTAGTAAAATATAAACAAATTAAGTAATGAGAACTTGAAAATCACGTGTAATCTTTAAGTTCTCTTAAATTTAAGTCATTACCCCCTCCCCTCTTATACCGACCACTGTTCTCTCCCTCTTCAAAAGATTTGAAAATCATCACCTGGCGATATTTTGTTGTTGTAACTGACATTGACATCCCTGTCCATCCGGACTAAAATGGGGAGCAGGAATTGTAATAGGTAGTGAATGGGGCTAGTGTAATATTTACCACATCATCCTTCAAGTACCAGTACAACTACTACCACGACCACCACCACAGTAGCTAAAATAATGTCACTGCCATCTGTTTTACCATCGGAGTAGACAGGGAGTCGTGAGCCAGAAGATTTAGTGCCGCATGGCTAGTGCTGTCGCCACGGACTGGTCAGGTTAGGATGTATAATTTCGCTTCCCAACAGAAGAACGCCATAACCTTACCGGCGGTCTCCACATGAGCGCACTACGGTGTAACAGCCCAACCACAACTACTACTGCTGTTGCTACTTTGAGTGGGTAAAGCAGTTACTGTGACTTAAAGCTCTCTCAGTAAACAGATAGCTCTCTCCCCCCCCCCCCCCCCCCCCCCCCCCCCCCCTAAATTCACCGACTACTCTTTCCCTCATTGAAGTAGGAGAAAAAAAACCCAAATGAAAGCAGGAAAAATACACCATAATTAGGAAATGAACGCTATGGTAAACAGCACAGCTTAAAATTCCAACGCAGATGAAATAATTAAATCTAAATGAAAATAAATGGAAAGCTATTGTGACGTTGACGGCCCACTCCCTTTGGAAATTCCAACACTTTTTGTGTGACGTCCCGGGTCGTGGGTTCTCTGGATTTGGTTTTAAATGATTTATATGTTGAGTAGGGAATTTCCTCTCAACACATCCCCTCCACCAGATTAACTGAACTAATATCCGGGCTATGTTGCTCTCAGACCAAGTCCTGGATACCCAAGAAAACAGCCATATTGGCTCGTTATTTATATTTAACTTTAGCTGAACTTGGTACCCACAAGAGAAGGAAATGGGTTTTAGATGTCTATATATTATTATCTTGAATGATTCACTAGACAGGGCAGTTGACCCAATCCGTCGACCTTCTCTTGGTGCAGAATTATTATTATTGAAAGAGCCCACCAAATGCTATTCTATCTTAACAGTTTAATTAAACATGTAAGAACAGACACACTTGGAATTATAAAAACTGATGCAGGATAAGACCATATAATTGATTTATTAACCTAGCAATCATTTTAGTTCTCTATATTTTTAGTCAGTAGTGATGGTATGGTGGTAATGAGATGCTTCAGCTAACTGAGCACCTAAGATTAGAATAAATGATAATGGTGGTGTTTAGTTACATAAATACTTGTTACATAACTTTTTAGAAAGTGGAACCTCTGAGAGTCCTCGTGTTGAGTCCCTTCTTAGCTGTTCCAATCTTTCCGCCCAGTTCTCCTGGTCCTTCCACCTGGTTCCCTGGTTCCCACCTGTTTCCCAGCTGGCCGAGTTCTGGCACAATGTAGTCTCGTGACTGTGATGACCCTCTATTTCTGATCCTCACCCACATGGGAGCTGCAATAATGGAAACAAACACATACGTGTAGTATCTTGACTTACACTAAGAATACATGTGTCAATTAAAACAATATACAATAATACATTAGATCTCATCACTCCTCCTCATATTCCACATTCTCTCCAGTCTGTTCTGAAGGTCTTTGTGTCTCACACCGACGTCTCACATATCCTGCCTTCACTCTAAGGTTCTGTCATGATAGTTGACTTTCTGTTGTCCGTCATCACCCAGACTTCCAACTTGCTGACATTGATTTGACATAAACATGTGGCGCAGGTTATGTGCTGAACACGCCAAACATTTTATCCGAGCATGCTGTCCTGAATATTATCTTTCAGTGACAGTGAATAATATACACTCATGATTCTTCCCCTGGGGTTATAAATCCCCTGTTTAGGTGAACACATTAGGTAAGCACATGGTGGGCACACAAAACGTAACAGCATAGCATAGGTGGGCATCATTTCCCACAGTTAATGGTTGAAACATTATAGTTTCATTACATTTCAGTATACAAGTCTTATTTTATAAACATGAAAACATACACTGAAACACATGTGCCACAAACATACAAGAAATAGAAATTTTTTAGCAGTTCCCTAACTGAGATACTGAATACTCACAAAGAACTATTTCAAGCAGAATGTGTAGAACAATTTAGGAAAAGGTAGAATAGTCTTTAGCTAACTCCCTAACCTATTTATAAAAGATTGAAAATAATTGTACATGCTTACCTGGGATATTCCAGCAATCGCCAACCCAGAATCAACAATTAGAATTACCTCTAATTTGCGACCTGAGTTTGTTGCTAGTGGCTGCAATTATGACGGGAATTCCACAGGCTAGTATTATTAATACCCCTATCTGTCTGCAAGGTTAAACTCCTCCCTTTACTAGGTTCTACCCAACCCTCCAGGAGATGTCCTAAGCCATGCCCCTGAGGTACCTAGCAGATCAACCTAGCTATCAATGGGCCTGTCACTCACAGTGAACGGCCTACAGTACGACCTTGACCAAGATTAAACATTCCTAATTGCCAAACATCTGTTCTCTTGAGAATTTCACTATCATGTGTGAAACTTCAGACACTGGACGCCATCCTGTCTAGAAATGTCTACCAGACCACTTAATTCCCCTGATCTAGTTTGATCAAACGGCCCCACTAGTCTGTGTTATGCAACTTTTATGACACTACGGTCGGGTTCAGGGGAGCTAATCTCAGGTGTGACACTAAGTTATTTCCCCCTTCCTCCCCTCTACAGTCTGGTCAGGAGATAACATTTTTGACATTCACACGAGAAAGGAATTCCTAGCCAAGGTAATATTACCTATAGCAAGGTTGCTTTGTCTGGCTAGAGATTGGAAACGCAGTTTAAACAATTTTCAAATCCCTTGTGGTGGATTTAGAAATATTTTGGGCTCAGTGTCTATTGCTTATAATTCTTTGTCCTTCTCTGAACATAAGAAATTATCAAACACAATATAACTTCTGAGACCACTGAGGTCATTTCGTCACAGATATGAAATGTCAACGTAACCATGCAATCGGAAAGTTTGAAAATGAAATCATAAGTATGCGAAATGGTCAAATTTAATTATCAACTGGTTTACCCACATACCTGTCTTTTTTTTTCTTCTAAGTATTAAGGGTCACATGGCTAGTGCTGTCGCTACGACAGTGCAGGTGAGGTTTTTATTTTAGCCCCGGGTAAAAAAAAAAAAAAAAAAAACTACAGCGGATTTGAACTCTGTTCTCCCGCACAGAAGCCCAATGTTCTAACCATTCGACCAAGCGGCCACTTCATCGAAGCAACGAAAAGAGAACAAAAGTATTTGAGATGTGTGTTCCTACTACAGTGTCTCGATTATAATACAACTCAAAACAGCAATCAATTGTTTTCTCATAGACAGATATTCCAGATATATTATTGAAACTGCACAACAATAGAAATCGCACGTGTCTAACACGGTTAATGTCGCAGTCAATGTCTGCGCCGACGTCGAGATATTTCTTGATGCCCCCTCCCCCCCCCCCTTTCCCATCCAATCCACCGGCTACTTTCCAACTCATCGAAGAATGTTTGGAGAAAAAACACACCAGAAAATAGAAATCGTGTTTAATATGGTTATTGTGGCAATCATTGCCTACACAAATATAGAGATAGTCTTGTTTGCTGTACCGCGACCTACTCTATATATTAGAGAAGGCGTTGGCTGCACGTATTTCGCCGGCGAATGGTGGAAGTCTTGCATTTTGACTATGGCGCATGCGCAATAACTAACGTGGCTATAATTAGATGTCACTTAAATTGAAATATTAGTTTCGAAGATTTGTCCAAAAAATTGTCGCACATTATCTCTAACAATGACAGGTTGAATTTCAAATTTGAACCATGATGGGTGAACATCGGGTATCAAAACAAACATATCCTGAAAATTTCAGCTAAATCGGTTCTGTAGTTTCCAAGTCTATAGCTCATAAACAAACACACAAACATTGATTTTTATATATATATAGATAATAGAATTGATATTAAATTCTTTAAATAAAATATTATTTTGTTTTCTTAATTTTCACTTGAAATAGATTATCTTTGTCTGCAGTGTTGTCTCTAGTATGAATTTCACTGTCCTTTTTAATTCACTCAGCGGCCCATAAAGTTTGGCTTTCACTAGTTTTTCTATTGGCCAGAAGTTTTGCTTGATATGTTGTATTAAGGACAGTCTTGGAGGACATAATCTGCTGTCTCAGGTGCCAGTCCACATGTTCATATGGCTGATTCATCAATCTTAAATTGTGTGTACATGTGGCTTTGATGTCAGTTGCGCCCTGTTCTGAGGCGTAGAATAATAACTTACAAATAGAATATATGTAATTGAGTATTTAAAAAAAAAAAATACACATGTATAAAAAGAAAAAGACAACACTTGGAAATAAGACTTCACCTGAACATGAGCCCTCGTCTTTTTGGATAATAATCAATCTAAGACCTGTCTTATTTCTTGGGAAACACCTTTGTAAATTCTTTTCCTTGTTGCAGCAGCAGCATTTCCACAACAGGCAGCACCCACACCTCTCATTGAGATTAGTGATGAAGGCAGTAGTTCACTCAGCGATGCTTCTGCAGATTATGACCTTGATGATGTTGACCGTGAACCTTATTATGGTGGATATGGCAACTGCTACATTTGTGGTAAGTATTAATTTATCCTCGAGAAAAACTGGACTCACTAGCCCAAAACAGTCATGGACCAGGCAGGTAGTCTGAATGCTTTAAGAGAAGAACGACATTTGCGAGAGAACTAACTGATGACTGAATCTGCAACCATGATCAGATTGCATGAAAAACATCTTAAAAGGGGTGTGGCCGGAGGAGAGAACTGTGCAGGAAGAAAAAGAAGAAATAAGAAACCAATAAAGAGTGGGTATTGTCAGCCGCTGTATGCTGCAGGATTTACTGAGGAGGGGACTGAAGTACTTGTGGACTGAATGGTTCATTATGCAGTGACGATAATCTGTCGTCTGACTATTAATCTATTCTCACCTTGAGGATTCTGAGATGCCCGTTTTCTGAGAAAAAAACTACAAACTTTCTACCCCCTACCAAGTATATTCTTAAAAGCGACTAATGAGTGCTTTGCTGAAATTAGATATGTTGGGCTGAAAGGTGTAGATATTGTAGCCTAGCCGTAAACCAAACAGCCAGCCTCCCTTTTATATGTGAATGCAGATTATGATTATGAAGAAGATTTCAGCACAAATATTTTTTTATGAGATGCTTTTTTTAAACTATAATGATGATTCCTTACTAGATACTTTTCTTTAAATTATGTAAATTTTTAGATCTCACTCCTCGTGTGGGTTCGGGGTCCAAATGGAGCAATGATGCGCAATACAAGACTCTTAATGTCTATTAGCCTCTCTTGCTCAAGCCTACCTCACCTTCACGTGGTGGACCCTGTTCTTCCCAGCAATCCAGTTGAAGGTTGGGGTCTTAACCCCCAGCGGGAAACTGGATGGGACAACAAACGAGGTAAAGGCGAAGGGATGAGCCTACTCTCCCTCCCAAGAGATCCTGAAGTCGGAAATACTGGGCCAGAAGGCGGATCAAAAACCACAGTACTACGCAACCCCACGCTATATATATGTTTACACCGTCAGACAAATTTAATGTTGGTGCTCGCCCTGTGGAACTCCACCAGGCAGGTGCAGTGCCGGGTTCTGAGCCTCGACAGAATCCACCCCCAGCTACTGGAGGACCTCCTAGACCGTCTTGTGGAGTCAGGAGACGGCGGAGGATAGCTACTGACCAAAACCAGTTAGACAGAAAAGATCCCAAATTGCCTTTTGTCATTATGCACTGGAATGCAGAGGGGGTCAGCAGTAAGCAGGCTGGCTACAGCAAAAAGTTGGAGCTGGAAAACATCCTCTATGAAAAGCATGTCAGTGTATGCTGCATCCAAGAGACCCATTTGCAGGCAGATCAGATATTTAAAGTGAGAGGCTACCAGTGCTTCAGATCTGACAGACAAGGCAGGCGAAAAGGAGGAGTACTCACCCTTGTGAAAAACAGTATCCATCCATGCGAGAAAAATGTCTTATATGGATGGAGCTGAGTACCAACTCCTGCAGCTTAAGACAGACAAAGTGGAATTAGAACTCCTTAATTACTACTGTCCCAATGACAAATCGCTAAACCTCAGCTCTGTGCCAGTACCAAACACCAACTTTATTGCAGTTGGAGACTTCAACAGTCATTCACAGAGCTGGGGCTATAACCATCTCGACAATAGGGGTGAAGAGGTGGAAACATGGCAAGATGACCACTCTCTGATCCTGATAAATGCCCCCTCAGATACGCCTACCTTCTACTCCAGAAGGTGGCAGACAACGTCGACCCCAGATCTTGCCTTCTCTACCCCAGATATATCTGGAATGATAAGTAGAGAGGTGGGAGACCAGCTTGGGGGCAGTGACCATCGCCCGATTTTTCTCACTGTCCAGAATGTACCAGTTAATACAGGCCCAGTCATCACAAGATGGAACTACAAGAAAGCCAACTGGGGCCTGTACAGACACAGGACAAGCACATTGTTGTCTGCTCTCAAGGTACAAAATAGGGATATCAATGCTATAGTGCACGATTTCAATAGAAGTATTCTACAAGCTGCAAAAGAAGCAATCCCCAGAGGCTGTCGACACAACTATAGACCGTACTGGTCCAGCACACTCCAGGAATGCCAGGAAACAATGAATCAGGCTAGAAAGGATGCAGAATCCCAACCTTCACCTGACAACCACATCAAATGGAAAAAAGGCTGTAGCAGTGTTCCAGAGAACTAAACTTGAAGAAAAAACGGAAAAGCTGGAGAAATAAAACAGAAGCTCTAAACCTTGATAAAGATGGCAAGAAACTCTGGAGATTAGCCAAATCACTCAATGAAGAGAGTTTCTCGCCTAGACAAACAATCACGCTAAGTGATGGTGACAAAATCTTCAGAGGAAAACAAGCTGCAGATTTGTTTGCCAAAACATTCAGTGTTGAAAGCAACCTGACCCTTAATGAGGACCATCAGAGAGAAATAAGGAAAGAAATACAAACAAGCAAACAAACAAATAAGAGACAGACAGATACTCCTGCCTCTATGAGGGAGCCATTTACCATGGGTGAACTACAAAATGCCATCTTTAGGCTTAAGTTAAAAAAGTCTGCAGGTCCGGATGAAATCAGCAACGAAATGCTAATCAACCTGACCTCATCTGCTAAAGTAAAGCTGCTGGAAATTTTCAACATCAGCTGGGAGAAAGGTTTAGTGCCTCAAGTATGGAGAGAAGCCATCACAATACCCATTTTAAAAAAAGGAAAAATTAAGACACAGGCTTCGAGCTATCGCCCAATTAGTCTCACAAGCTGTGTAGGAAAGACATTGGAAAGAATTGTAAATTCAAGACTGAAATGGCACTTAGAATCTGAGCAGATCTTGGTGCCAGAGCAGGCTGGGTTTAGGGAATGTCACAGCATAGAAGATCAAGTCACCTACCTGTCACAAGCTGTAGAGGATGCCTTCCAAGAGAAGAAAAAGGTCCTGGCGGTATGGGTTGACTTCAAACAAGCTTTTGACAAAGTCTGGAAAGATGGTCTCATTGCAAAACTGAAGAGAAATGGAATCCAAGGAAACATGCTAAAATGGATCCAATCCTTCTTACACAGCAGAAGAACTAGAGTCAGTCTTGATGGCCAGCAGAGTAGAAAAGTGTTACTTCGGCAAGGAGTACCACAGGGAGGAGTTATCTCTCCAACTCTCTTTCTTGTGTATATAAATGATCTGGTGAAAGACCTCCCTACAGGAGTAAAAGCTGCCCTGTATGCAGATGATCTGGCACTCTGGTGTACCGATGAACACACCACAGTGGCAAATATAAGAATGCAGCGAGCAGCAGATCTCTTGATGACATGGGCAGAAAAATGGCATGTTGCCATCAACACAGACAAAACATCCACAACGCTTTTCTCTCTTTCCACCAGGGACAAAGCTGCTAGTATTCACCTAGGAACATCCTTGCTAAAGGAAGAAAGCTTCCCCACTTATCTTGGAGTAACATTTGATAAAAGGCTCACATGGAGCAAACATATAGAAAATGTAGAAGGGAAGGCCAGGAGACGACTAGGCCTACTTAGAAAATTGGCAGGTACAGGATGGGGGGCAAATGGAAAAAACCCTAAAGAAAGTTTATAATGGAGCGATAAGACCCCACTTGGAGTTTGGTGCAACAGCATGGTCAACAGCTGCTAATTCCCACCTACAATCGTTAGACAGAGTGCAAAATCAAGCTCTTAGACTCATCACAGGATCCATGAAAACTGCACCAATCCTGAAGATGCAGAAAATAACTGCAATGCAGACATTGTCCTATAGAAGAGACACTAAAACTATGATCCAGATGGAGAAGTTTAATAGTATGCAGTCACACCCAATGAATAAAAGGTTAGATGATCTGGCATTAGGGCGTCTCAAACGTAGCAGCTTTGTCCATCGGGGGAAAAGACTTAGAAGACAGTACCAAGCTGATCTACCTATTAGAACAACACCGCTGAAACCTACCCTATACCCTGTACCTTGGGAGCAAGTCAGTGATACAATACAGATAATGACTTCAGTCAATGGATTCACAACTGGAGATGAGTCCAATGATCTTCAAAAACGAACAGCTGCTCTTAGCATGATTCATGAAAACTATCCCGAACAGTCATGGATACATATTTACACAGATGGATCAGCAACCAGCGCGGTTAAAAATGGGGGTGCTGGAGTCTTTATTACATACCCAGGCAACCACCGCCACACAAAGTGGATACCCACTGGTAAATTCTGTTCCAACTACACAGCAGAGATTGTAGCACTAGAGCAGGCTGCCGAAATGTTACACAACACCAGTTCTGACTGCCACCAAGTGGTTATATTCACAGATGCGCTTTCAGTGCTTCAAGCCCTCAAGAGTGGCAAACTCCCTCACTTGAGATCTAAACTTGGCAAGGTGGCTGCCCAAAAGTGTACTGTACTCCAGTGGGTGCCATCCCACTGTGGTATACCAGGAAATGAAACCGCAGATAAACTTGCTAAAAAAGGGGCAGAATGTGACCAAGAAGAGAATGCAGTAACATACTATGAGAAGAAAAGGGCCATCCAGGCTATCAGAAGTGAACAGAGTCTGGCCAGAGATGACTACCACTTACTTGACCGGCATGGGCAGGTCATTGTCCTACGTCTCAGGACAGGACATAACAAACTTAACCAGCATATGCACAGGCTTCGTCTAAGTAGTTCACCTTTTTGCCCTTGTGGGCTATGTGTGTAGACTACAGAACATGTCCTGCAAGACTGTCCCTTGTTCAGCCCATTAAGAAAGGAATACTGGCCCAGTGAGTCACCACTGTACACAAAGTTGTATGGGACTAAAAATGAACTCATTAAAACAGTCAAGTTTATCACAAGAACCTGTCTGTCGGTGTAAATCAGAAAGCGAACACAAGAAGAAGAAGAAGTGTGGGTTCCTGGGCCCACAGTTTTGGGAAAGGAGGGAGAGGCCTACCATTTTTCAACAAGCATGCCGTAAAAAGCAACTGATCAAAGATTTGCTGAAAGGTACAGATATCACAGCCTAGCTGTAAACCTCAGAATTGCCAACTATCCTTTAAAGGGTGAACACAGAAGAGGAAGGAAGATAGATGTCTTCTCACATATTAAGTTGCAGCATGAGGAGGCATGGCAAACTCTCTTCTTTGTCATCATTATATATAGAGAAATTGCTAGAATCCATTTTTATGAGGCTGGTTCAAACCTAGAGCTTTGATTTCGCCTCATTCCCATGTGGGTTGTGGGGCCTTATTATAGGGAAAACAAGAATAGACCCACTGCCTTCCCAAAAGCATGTTGTACGAGTCGACTAATTGGGAGCTTCCTTCAAAGTCAGAGTGCATCTGCCTGAGAGGCAAGGAACCAAGTCTGTACACAAATGAGTCAGAGCTGTCAAATGAATGCAAAACTCAGGTTCTGTAACAGGGCTGCAGTCCAGAAGTGGATGAACAACCAGAACTTTCCACCAGAGTTTACAGCTGGTGAACGCCAAAACAAAAAAGAAGATTTCAACTCTCTTGCCTCTTGTGTCCTTCATTTTCCATTAAATCGTAGACTGTCAAGCAGCCTACAGCATGTCCTTAGGACTTGTACATGCCGTGTTTCCCTGGGAGCCAGTGTAAATTTTTTCCCTCCCAAATCTGCCATGTGTGAATTGTAATCCATGACCTCTGGCAGGAGAGAGTCTTGCTGTGTATCCATCATCTATTAGTTTCATATCTTACTTGATAACAAATGGGCAGAAGTGTAGCTGTCATATATGTTATGCTCACATATACTGGATAGATGATTCAAGTTTGAATTTGGCAAAATTAATTCACACAGTACTATTTTTAATCTATTTTACTGAGGAGGAAGCCAAAGAAGAATAAGAAACCAACACAAAACAAATATTGTCAGCCGCTATGTGCTGCAGGATTTACTGAGGAGGAGACTTAAGCACTTATGGATTGAATGCTTTGCTGTGCAATGATGATAATTTGTCGACTAACTATTCTATTCTATTTCCATCTGCAGGTTTGAGAGGCCATTGGGCAAGTGGATGCCCTGACCGTCGTTAACCTGACTTAAAATAATGCCATCACAGCAAGGAAAAACATTCAGATTTGACTTCTCATTTGGCATTAACCTTCTCTCCCCCCCCCCTTTTCCCCGGTAGACTTTAAAAAAAAAGATTTTGACCCCCTTAGAATTCCAGAAGAAGAAAAAAAGAAACAAAACAAAAAATTGACACTGGTAACTAATAAATTTGTTGAAAATTTATCTATTTACATTTTTAAAAAAATTTTTATTTAAAATATATAAGAATATTTGAAAGAAGTCATCAGTAAACATGACCTGCATGAAGATTGAATTGGGCATTATACATGCCCCGGGGGATGTGAAAAACACATCCATATATCGGGTGACTCATACAGTGACCATGTGACCTTTATCACTAAGGCTCACAGGAAACTCTAACATCAGCTTAACTTAGTTATTGTATTTATATCTTGACCTCATAAACAGGCTAGCAGGATAAACTGAAATAAAAAATAAAAAAGTGTTTAATAAACTGAATTTGAACATCGCTTAGCATAATATTAAATTACCATCAACTTTGAATGCTAGCAACCAAGTGTGCTAATTTTTCATTGGAAAGTAAATGGTTGTTGAATGAATAGTGAACACTTAACTCAGTGTCAGCTTACCATACAACTTGAAATGGTAAAAATATAGTTTTTAGTGATGATTATGTAACAATGTTTTGTCTCATTAATAAAGTTGTAATTAATTTACAATTAAATATGTTGACAAGATGTCTGGTTATTGCTTTCATAGGAACACATAATTTGAATGAATGCAAATAAACACAATTAATGAGCACATTTTACAGATTTAAAGAAACAAATCAGAACTGTTCTAATTATCAAATTTTGCCTAAGATAAAATGCGGCACACTTTATTACTTGGTACACTAACTTAATGACACACAGGTGGTTTGTGTTCCATTTCTGACAGATAAAAATTAAGCTTACTTTCTGATAGCACAGTGGAGATTAAACTAACCTCATAAAATGGGTACTAGAGATAAAAGATGACCACCATGTGATAGTGATTTTATAATCTGTCATGTAATATTCTGTTTACTGATATACTAAAAGATATGTACATTAAGGAGGATTGGCTAGTAAACAGCATCTTGTCTCATCAACTGAAATATTTTGGCCCTATGTGCCACAGTGAAAAAAAATGAGAGCAGAATGGATGGTACTTGGAAAGGCAGGTGGTCGACTGGCACGAAGATGGGCACAGGATATAAGTGACTCCTTGGGTAGGAAATGAGAGATCCAGTTTCTTTCAGGTAGACTGTGGTGACAGCATCATTCTCAATAAGACCTGCTGTGTGATGATAATTGTTCTCTGTCTCGCCCTAGGTGGGCGATGTTGCTTTTTCTGATCCACATTTACCATTAAATGTGGAGTTGGGAAGAGGGGACGGCAAAGACCAAACTCACGTTCCTGGGCTAAATGTCTTGTGTCATGTCCATGTTTAGTGTTTAAACTGCATATCCTTTAATTCTTTCCACCCCAGAATAGAAATTTTGCCCCAGTGAATCGACTGTGAAATCAATAAAATAATTGGTTTACATCCACAGGGCCCAAATACACATCCCTTGTGGGAGAGAAATGTGTTTTGGAGTTGTCGTCGTTGTTGTTTGCGTTCACTGGCTGTACGCCCTGGAGTAAAGACCTGGTTCGTCGTCCATTTCTGAACTGGCTTTGTTGCAGGACCTGAGTTTTCCATGTGCATCCATTTTACAGATCTTGCTTATTTGTATGCAGACTGTTGGTTCCTTGCCTCTCAGGCAGATGCACTCCAGCTTTGAAGGAAGCCCTCACTTAGTCGACTCTCACAACATGCCTGTTGGGGAGGCAGTGGGTATGTTCTTGTTTTCTTTACAGTGGGACCCCGGAACCCATACAGGGAAGGAGTCACTTGTAAAATCAACAAAATGATGGGGTATACTACATCCACAGGGCCCAAATATGCATCCTCTATGGGAGACAAATGTGTTGTGGAGTGTTTTAGCATGCCCTGACTAACCATTAAATGTACAAACATAATAATATGTTAATTGGTATATGAGTAAATCCAGTCTCAAGTGGTGCATTGTTTAGGACTGCAAGAGTTAGAGGATGTTGCAAACCATTCCAGCCTTTGTGGTTTTACGAGGAAATTGGTACTTTCAGTAGTTTGCCACAGCTTACTGAACAGACAGGTCAAGATACCATTGTTAAAATCTGTGCAGGGCTAGACCAATATTCTTATACACCAATCTGCACTTAATGGATGATGTGGTCACCTTTACTTCCCATGATATTTCCTTGTACCCATTTTAGGATGGGTCGACCTGGGAACCACAGCAGCTCCTGTGTATATAATATAACCAACTATCTGTTATCATGTTTTGCAATGGTTATAAGATATACCTCTGTAACCTAGGTGTTGTGAATGCGTTTCATAATGCTGAGGTGCCTTTTGGGCAAATACACTCTGACTTCAGAAGGAAAAGCCCACTTAGTTGACTCTTATGACATGCTTGTTGGTGGTGGTGGTTGGGGGAAAGGAGGGGGGGGGGGGGGGGGGGGAGAATGTCAGTGGTTCTGTTCTTTATTCTCTTTAAAACAGGGCCCCGGAACCCAGATTATGAGATCAGATCAAACTTTACGGGTCGCTGAGTGAATTACAAAAGACAGTGAAGTTCATACAAGAGACAGCATTGCAGATATAGATAATCTATTGCAAGCGAACGAAAGAAGAAGAAGAAGAATTAGATCAGAAAAAGTCATGATTTAAGTAAATAGAGATAAGAGGAAAACAATAAGAGAATATACTTGTTGACCTCCGATCATGGAACAGAATAGAGTTAGCAGAATGTGAATTGATAAGGATCTCAGGATAGTAAAAAAAAAAGTAAGTAAAGGACCCTTTCCACGCCTTAGGCGTATAGGGCTAGACCTATATTTTTATAGACCAACGGCACAAGATGGGTGATGTGGTCAGCATCACGCCGACCGCCTCTACTTCCCGGGATTGCACCCGGTACCCACTCAAGGCTGGGTCGACCTGGGAGCCAAGGTCATTTTTGAAGAAAAGTCCGTCTCCGCCAGGGAGCGAACCCACGACCTTCCGATCATCGGCGCGCGTCTAGCCGCTCTGCCACGGCGACTCCCATCTCAGGATAGGGTAGACCATAATTGCCCTTGTCTCTTCTCAGGGTCCCATTGTGGATTTTAGGGCGGGTGGGGGGGGGGGGAAGGCCCACAAGTATGTTTAAAAAGAAACTAATTAGAATTTACAAAATGCGGACACAAACAATACATGGCGAAACTTATTGCCTGGCGTATTTGACATGACTGGCAATAAATAGTACAATGTATTGTTTGTGTCCGCATTATTTACAACGTGAAAACGTTATTTTGAATTAGTTAGTTTTCTAAAATTCAAGTGTTGTGCTGAAAGGTGGAAATATTGCAGCCTAGCTATGAACCACAACACAGTGTTAACTACCATTTTAGGGATGAAGGAAGAATTATCAAGACACTTGGTGAATATGATATATTATGTACTATTATATGTTATCAAAGAGTGGGCAGACAACTTGGCACAAAACTGTTTAAAAAAATAATATTGGAGGCAAACGTTTAAAGTAGGAAAATAAGAGTAGGCTATAAAGTGCTTTCATAATGGGCTCAGATAATACCTAGGCACAATACTGCATTGGCAGTCTCAATCTCCATTCTCATGTTAGTTGGGATCTAAGCTGTGATAGGCTTCATTTAAATTTAAAACATAATTACAGATAGTGTATTTCAGAGAATATGTTTTACAGTAGAAAACTAAGAGTAGGCGGTAGTTAATATAAATTGCTTTCATAATGGTCCCAAATAAGACACAGGCACAGTTTTGCATACAGTCTCCATTCTTATACTGTTCCTGGGTCTAACCTGCAGTAGGCAGTGATCGACACAAATGTAAAACATAATTACAGATAGTGCATTTTGGAGTATATGTGTTGTTTCATCCGTAAAGTTGCAATTCTGTGTGTCTTGAGACACTGCAAACAAGTCAAGATGTTTATGTTTTTACAATAACTTTTTTTTTTAAATTGTTATAAACCTGTTTTTAAATGGTCTTAAAATGAACCTGTCAAAAGTTTTGCCAGAAGACAAAGTCATTTCGTCATGTTCCACAAACATTTTCATCCTTTCTTACAAATGTAAAATGTGTACATAAGTAAAATAGCCTCAAACTGAATTCAATGTTTCTTGTGTATTGTTGCTATTGAAATTTTACATGGTTTTGACATTTTATTTATTAAACCATATCTTTTGTCTTTTCATCATCGATGTCAGTTCAGCTATGGGATGAATGTGTTCTTGGCCTTTTTCAAAATATTGTAATAAAGTAAAAATAAGAACAGTTGGATTAACTTCCCCTTCTATGTGTCTTTTCATCATCATCATCATTGTCCTGTTGTGTCATTAAATGTTGCATAGTACTCACAGTCCATTCTTCCATACTGTTCTATTCTCTGCAATCAGTTCAATATCAGTGGATGGAATCGAACTCAGTACTTTTGGTCTCTCTCATGAACATTTGTTTTATAAGTGTTTTTTGTCTATCCAATATAGTGACAGTACTTACACGTGAAAGCAAGGCTCCTACCAGTCTCTGAAAATGGGTAACAAATTGTGTGGCAACATACATAGATAACACACTATATATGTATGTTTGTATCCATACATGTTTACACAAATCAAGTACTTACATGGCTGGCACAGCCTTGAAAATACATTAAAAACCCTTGGGGGAAAATGGCGGCTTTGGCTACAATCCTTGGGGGGGGGGGGGGAGAGAGGTGCAGCAGCAACAGATAAAGCAGAAGAGAGGGAAGAGTACTTACATGTCTGGCACAGGCTTGAAAATACATTAAAAAACCTTGGGGGGAAAAATGGTGACTTTGGCTACAATCCTTGGGAAAGAGGAGGGGGGAGGGGGTGCAGCAGCAACAGA